AGAGAAGCTGTGTGGGGTGTTAGGCCCCTTATCTCACCTTCAGGGACTCCTAGGACCCTGTCTGGTGACAGTTTTCCTGGACCAGAGCCTCACCCATCTCTCCATTACCACTTTTCTCTGGGGGAAATGTCAGACGCGCCCTGCAGGCTAGCCTAGATGGGCGCCAGCTGCACCCTTCCCCTAGGTAAGTTCGCTGTGTATCTGTGCAGAAAGCCAGATAGGTAAACATCTATCTGCAGGCAGAGATACCACTTCAGAAATTTGGATCAAATATTTTCTTTAAAAACACACACCAAGGGGCTGGGGATTTAGCTCAGCAGCATAAGTGCGCCTGCCTTGCACACGTGTGGTCAAGAGTTTGATCCCTGGTACCCCCAAAAAACATGCACCAAAATGACCTTTACCAAAAATAATATCGGTTGTCTTTATCAGATGACTTTTTTCATTTTTATTTATCTGTATTTTCGGAAATCTTCCTTCAGTGTATACTTATTATTTTTGAAATAAGGACAAAAGAAGTGTCTATAAAAAGCAGCACAGTGAGATTCAAGGAAACAATGGACTTTTCTGGAGGAATCAAAGCAAACTTTGACATACCCACCTCTCTTATCTAACAGGTCAGGAATCTATTAGATGTCTCAAATCCTCAAAGCTTATTCTTTATTTGTTTTGGTACTGGGACTCAGTTCAGGATGCTGTGCTTGCCAGGCAGGTGCTTGTGCCACTGAGCTACATCCCCGCCCCAGCCTCCCCATCTTTCACTCAACCAAACACCACACAGGACTTTTGTTTGGATCTTGGTCCACGCAAACCAGCTGAAAAAATATTTATAGGCAGAGAAACAGAACCTTTTTCTGGATGTTCAAGATGCTAAGCCAGAGTTATTTTTATGATATGCTAACAGCATTTATGGTAATGTCAGGAAAAAAACTTACTTTTAAATAAACAGACTGACATTTTTATGGCTGATAGGACCTGAAACCTGGGACTTTTGTGGGTAAATAATTCATTGGGAGCAGGAGGTGGCTGGGGACATAAAATCCAAGGGATGACCATGCGCTAACGCTTCTTGAACTCGGAGATTGATTTGTGCATGGTCGGTTCAATATTTTCTCTCCTTTTTCCTTTGAAATTTTCTATGATAAAATTGGGCAAACCTACTTTTTTCCTACAATAAGCGAAAAACCTCCTTTAAATGCCTTTAGAGTCAAGATCCCACTTGGTGGGCACCCTGCCTGCAGTTGTGTGTCACAGGTGACAGAGCTGACCCCTGCACTGGGGGTTAGTGCCACCAGCTCTGTAATTTCAACATAATTTTTCAAAGTATTATTCAATCTTTATAGTGTACTCACACCTTTTAAATATGAATAAAGGGGCTATTTTCACTTCGAACCCTTTCTTGACCATTGGTGCCATGACTTGCATGCCACTTGAACTTTCCATTTACATAAGGGACCCATCACACATCCTGACCATAATTTCATCACTGTCTTTGTCACTGTCCTTGTCACCAAGACACAATACCGACACTACCACCTAAAAGAGCAGAGGTTGATTTTGGATCATGTTTCAGCCCATAATCAGCTGGCTCCAAGGCAGGATGGCCCAGTGCAGGGCCTGGCGGAGGACACTGCTCATGCCATGGATATCAGGAAGCAGGGAGACGCTGGGGAGGGAGATAACCACTCCCAGGCCACATCCCCAGTCAGCCCCTCTTCAGACCAGACCCTGCCTCCCAACTGCAAGTCAGCTACAGCTGCCACAATGCAATCATCTTCCAAAAGCATAAGAACACTGGAGGCTTAGGGGACCTCTACCTGCAAACTGTGACAGTCACTTATTTTTAAATGAGAACAGGGTGCTACACACACCTGTTAACTAAGTGGCTGTTCCTGCTGTAATCAGTCTTTTCTCCCTAGTATATTACATGACCAGCAGTGACCACAGACTTACCCAGCGGCTGTCTAAAACACCAGCACATTTCAAATACTCAAAAAATATCTGTTAAACAAATGAAAGAATGAATGAATGAAATTTACGATTTCTCTACTCACAGACCTATGTAAGATCGGTGGGGTCAAGTACAAGCCACAAGGACGTGGATTAATTTAGAGTTACAGCTTACATAGTGCTCCACAATTCGTCAGACTGGAAACACACGGTAAACAAGTGTTTCCAGATTGTGTGTGCATTCAACATGCCTCTGAGTCCAAAGAGCAGAGGACTGTGAACCCCTCTCACCTGAGCAGGCAATCAGTGCCTGCAAGTCTCCCGGACCCCCATCCCCTCTGAGTCTCCGCTCCCTCTCCACCATGGCAAACACAGGCTAAAGTACAGGAAGGCAAGGAGGGGACAAAGGACACAGCAAGTGCAGGGGTCAGGGCAGTGAGCGTGTGACCCTCAGCGTCAGCCAAGGGCCCCTGCACACAGCACTGGGCGATATTTCCTGCCGTCCTCAGCACCACAGAACAGAGGGAGAAAGCCCCCAGAATCTCAAGGCTTTGTTTTACGGCTGCACAATATTCTTGTCTTCAAAATGATTTGTTCACAACAAGCTCCTGCTTGATTCCCACAATAACAACGTGAGGCAAACAGGCCCTGCCACCTGGGTTAAAGAGGAGGAAAGGGAGGAGATCAACGCTTCCCTCAATGGGATTTTCATGTTTCTCAATTTCATGTTTTCTGATGGCTGTCTCAGCACATGGTGGCTGCTGCATCAAGGGGAGCTGGCACGTGGACACAGCCTGGCGTCCTTCCTTCTTTGTCTCCTCCTCACCCTCCCTCCACCTCTTGATCCTTTTCCCATGTGCAAAAGATCCATCTTCCAAACAGGATTTTAAAATATTACCTACTTTTCAAGAATGCAATGTACCAGAATACTACTACTGTTATCCGTGCCAAAAAGGCCTATTTGTAGCGGACAGATGTAGTAGTATTCTGTAAACCCCACGAGTAAGTATAATTTTTTTTTTTGTCTTTTCCTTTTTTATCGGTACCGAGGATCGAACTCACGACTGCCTGGTTGCAAAGCAGGTGCTTATGCCACTGAGTTAAATCCCCAGTCCCTAGTAAGTATAATTTTTATGGATCGATGTTTAAAAGGTCACTTGGAAATAATCACACAGCAGCCAATACATTTTGGATTCCTACGGGAAGTATTGGACTTGAAGAGACGAAGAAAGCTCGTTCCATCTGCTGCTTCCCCTCCCCTTCTCCCTTCAAATCCAACTAGGTTAAGTTTTAACTTCCTAAAGGCCATAAAACAAAGGCCTGAGGTACTAGCTCCTGACATCCTGGGTCTTCCCTATCTGGTAGCCCCGTCACAAATTGTGTTAATTGCATCAGATTGTATTAGATTGTACATTCTTCACAGAAATAGCTTCGTTTATATCATAGTAATACCTGTAACTGTAAATGTGTGTCTTCCTTTTCCCCTGGGTAAAAGATTGATATGTTAATCAATGCTCTCTTCTGTAAAGAATTGTAAAATCTTACCCAATTGATATGTTAACCATTGTTGCCCTCTACAAATAGAAAGGTTGTGGTGCTAAAGTAAGGTAATTATGTCAGGAAACTCAGAGATAAAGTCTGCTGACTATGCTAATCAAGATTGGAAAGTATGTCAGAACCAAGCCACACAGGAGCTAGGTGACCTAAAAATAAGCTGTGCAAAACAAGACAGTTAATCAACTCTGACCCACTGGTCACCCCTCATGATCTGACCAATCACAAATGGACAAATCACCAACTGTTCTGCTCTAACTGCTATGATTGGCTTCTGTAACAATGCTTGCTTGCTTTGCGGTTTTCATCCTTAAAAACACCAGCCTTGCCCCAACTCAGGGTTCTCCGTTTCCACCTGTTTGGAGGACCCCGTGTACACGGAATAATAAAAACCCCATTGTTTTTACATGAGAGCGAGGCCCTTGGAGTCTTCCTCGCGACACCGGTCTAACAGACTGACCTCCAAATTGAAAAGCACCCCCCCCCATGAGGGAGAGGTGTTTGTCAGCTTGTTTGTTTGTTTGTTTGTTTTTAGGTACTTGAATACTAACTTGCTCCTTGGAAAAGCAGGGTGCAGAAATCAAAGGCCTGATTGTGCAGCGTCCTTCTCTGGGGTCCTTATTCAACCTGGTTCCCAGCAAGCCGCAGTTCAGAGGAAAGGAGCCAAGTTTCCCTCAAAAAACCAGACTAAAAGAGCTCACTCAGCACGCAGCTCACACTGGGTTGCCGTAGTCACCACGTAAAAGTCTTGGCGAGCTGCTGCGGGCATCGACTTAGGCTCTGGCAACAGCCGCAGGATGCTGGAGCCCTTCCTGCCTCAGCTGCGGGAAGGGCTTTGCGGGGCCGCCTTCCTCTGGAGGATTGATGTCCTTCTCTCCGAAGGACCGGGGGTTGCTGGGGGCTTAGGTAACTGAGACCGAGGGAAGAGGTGCGCAGGAGCGTGGCTCCCCTCGTGCGCCCCCCAAAGGAAGGACCGTGAGACTGGCCACTGTTGCCATCTGCCGGGACGGTTCTCACCCCTGGGGCCAGGCGGCCAGTTTTCCACTTGTTCTCACATCCAGGAGAGTGAGGGTGGCAGACACGGGGCACCCCAGCAGCGCCGGCGCCCCCGCGGCTTCTCCCGAGGGGCGGTGCCAGGGAAGGGGTGCAGGGGTGGAAAGGGAGGACGAGGGTCTGCATGGATCACACACCCCACAGCCGAGCCCCCCGGCACGGAGAGCTGCCCCCCGCAACCCTCCCCACCCCACCCCGGGCGGACGCACGGCAGCCGCGCTCCTCGGCAGAAGGCGAGCACGGCGGCGCGGGGCGCCCCGGCACGGCAGCAGGCAACAGACCCACGCCCTGCGTCCCGGCGTCGAGTGACGCACAGCGCCGCCCCCGGCGCGCACGGAGCCTGCGCCCGCCCCGCCCCCGCGGCTCCCTGGAGCGCTGCGCCCGGCCCGCGCACCCGGCTCCGTTCAGCACCGCGGCGCGGACAGCGCCCCGCACCGCGCGCCCGGCCCCTCCGCTGCCGCCGCCCTCGCCCGCCGCCCGCCGCCCGCCGCCCGCCGCCCGCCGCCCACCGCCCACCGCCCGCTTGCGCGGCCTGTGTGCCATGGGTCTCCTGTGCGCCGGCGCCTGGCTGCTGGTGCTGGCGCTGCCCGGCGGCCCGATCCACGCCTTCCCCAAGCCTGGGGGCAGCGAAGGTAGGTGGACGCCGCCGCTTTCCCCACCCGCCCTGCACCGGCCGCGAGGAGGCGGCTCTGGCTCGGCCCCAGCCTCGCTCCTCTGACCCCGTCCTATCCTGACCGTGCGTCTTGACACAGCGATCAGCCTGCGTTTGGAGGCCAAAGACAGAACCCCCAACACACGATAGAGCAATAAGAACCTGGTTTGTTTTTAAACAATAATGACATGGGTTGTTTGTTTTGAAGAAAGGGAGGGAGTGGCTGTTCTGTCTAAAGTGACTTGGGTTCTTTCTCTCTCTCTCTTTCTTTTTCTTGTTTTACAACCTTCTCATAGCCTATTCATAACATGTGCTTTAATGAGCAAAGCGCTTCCGGTGTGCTAATAATGCCAATCAAATTATGTTGGCTCTAGCTGAGCCGAGCTGACCAGCCGAGTGTTAGAACTGTGTTAAATTTCTGTCAGGGAAAAAGATGGGATTCTATGAGCTCGGGGGAGATGCACCAACATAACATCGAGGCCACACTGACCGTCACCAGGCACTGCGTGCTGACGGTGGTCTGGGTTCGTGTATGCTGTGTATAATAGACATCCAAAAGTATTTCTTCTAATAAGCGTTTTTCCTTTTCTTTTCAAAAATATTTCAATGAGAGACATACTGTATATTTCCAACGCATAATTAAATTTGTGTGTGTTTATTCTAGACAGATCTCTACATAATAGAGAATTAAGTGCAGAAAGACCTTTGAATGAACAGGTAGGTAGGTCAGAAATAATACTGCGAATGCCATTTTGTTTTGCTTTAGTCGTTATTATTACTATGCTGTGACATTTTCGCCATACAAACTGCAGGAGTCTGAAAGTAAATTAACAGACATTAGGATGGGAAGTCTAGTTCTAGTAATTTCCGAGCCTTAATGGTTATGTATACTGAGCTCTGTGTGATACACAGGACAAAGCGTATAATAACTCAGCAAGCTGTCATCACAGCCACTCTATTATTATGCTTAATTTCCCAGAGAGTTGTCTTTCACCACTATTCTGGGAGAAAAGAATCAATGCTTAGCATCTGCTCTTTATTTTAATTCATTTAATCCTTACAACAGTGCTTTGAGATTGGAATCATTACTCACACTTTACCTAAAAAAAAAAAAAAAAAAGAAAGAAAGAAAAAGAAAACTAAATCTACAGAGATTAAGTCATTTGGCTTTTATACTTGGGGTGAAGCAGTGGTTTAAAACGAGGTCTGTCTCTTGTTTGTGTCACAGATTGCTGAAGCAGAAGCAGACAAGATTAAAAATGTATACCCTCCAGGTAAAGAGAAATTTTGTCAACGTTAATTTAAATGATATAGGTTATAAGAATCTGTATTAAAATGGATATATTGGGCTTGGGACTTTTTTCCCCCAGAAAACAAGCCAGGTGAAAGCAATTATTCTTTTGTTGATAACTTGAACCTGCTAAAAGCAATAACAGAAAAGGAAAAAACTGAGAAAGAAAAGCAATCCATAAGAAGCTCCCCATTTGACAATAAATTGAATGTGGAAGATGCTGATTCAACTAAGAATCGAAAACTGATCGAAGATTATGATTCTACTAAGAGTGGATTGGATCATAAATTTCAAGGTAAATGCTACAAACGAACTTTTTGCTCTCTAGTTTTTCTAATTTGGACTTTCTCCTTATAGTTGAGGGAAAGTTCATATTTTTTTATTTTATCATTAGGTTACATGAGAACCAAGGAAAGTTCATATTTTAAGAATATCCTTTGTACATTCATAACTTTCAGGGGGCCAGGGATTTAGCTCAGTGGTATAAGTGCCTGCCTGCAAGTGTGATGTCGTGAGTTCAGTCTCCAGTACCAAAAAAGAAAAAAAAAAAACTCATAAATTGTATTAAGTCAAATTGAGATAAAATTCAGATTTACTGATAATACACAAAAATCCTGTTCCATAAAATCTTGAACTTTATTCTCTTCTCAAAGGATTATTTACTGATGTTTTGAAAAAAATTCGTATCTACTATCTGTATTTCACATTATTAGATTCATTTTATAGTTTATTTTAGCAATCAGCATAAAATATCAATAATTCTCCAATAATTAGATCAATAAAACGCTCTCCCAAAGCAGAACATCACTATTTTCTTTACAGTGCTTTCCTCCAAACTATCTCCTTTCTCATTTGGACATCTTCACTTTTCTGTAGCTATGTTTATCACCTGTACCCTGACATCCCCAATCCAAATGGTTTTGTCTCTGTCTCCTGTTCTTCTAGTTTTTTTTTTTTTGTCTTTTTGAGACAGGGCCTTGCTATGCATTCAGGCTGGCCTTGAGCTCACTGTGTAGTCCAGGCTGGCCTTGAGCTTGCAGCAATCCTCCTGCCTCAGCCTCCCAAGTGCTGGTTTACAGGTGTGTGCCACCACACCTGGCTTAGGGACATTTTTTAAAATCATGAATTATACATTGTAACCTAAAATATTTGTCCTAGAAATAGACACTGGCCTTCACTGTTTGCAAAATAGACTTAAGCACTGTGAGTGAACTGACCATTTGGTTTAGTAAAACATTCTACCTGTTCGACCAGGTCTGTCACACTGATGGTGCATCCCAGGCAGATGTGGGTCCGTTTGTGATTTGACCACAAACTTGAGCAGCTGATTTTTAAATTGTCCAATATTTTGCTACCATCTTAAGTAGGTTTGGAACTGCCATGTGCTAGTCCAGAATGCTTTAAGTTTATGGGTGAGCTTCTACTATTCCCTCATGCCCTGGAAGTCTAGAATAAGAGAGCCTGGAGCCTTGAAGGTGAATGGACCTGAGGGAGACAGACTTCATCCTAGAAGGCTAGGTGATGTTCCCAGACCTCAAAGCACTGTGAGAAGCCCTCCCAATAAGCTCACCCTATAGGCCTTGCCATTACTTCTCTGTGCTCTCTGTACCATGCACGATTCAGGGTTTTTCCAAGTTAACTTTTATGTGGTGGTGCCTTGGGCTCCTGTGCATGTCTGTATTGGTTAGGATTCTCTAGAGTACCAGAACCAAGATAAAATATGTATATGCTTAAACCAGAAGTATCCCCTGGCCATCTGCCAGATCACAGAGGGAAGAATCCAGCCCTCTGCGTGCTGGATAACCAGAGCTCTGGGTCAGGTGGGTGCTCAAGGCTAAGGCCCAAATGCCTACTACAGTCGCAATCTGAATTGGAAAGCTAGGCATTGGCACCAGAAGACTGAAAAACCGGACCCCAGCATCCAAAGGCGAAGGCAAAGACCAGGGCTCCTATGAAGAGAAGAGACACTTCTGCTTCCTTTTTTCTGTGCTCTGTCCAGGCTGTGCACCTGCTGGTGGGAGTCACCCACATCCACAGCGGGTCTCCTTGCTCAGTATGCAGCCTCCGTACCTGTCACCCATGGCACACCTGTAGTTTACCGATGGTGACTTCTCACTATCAAGGTGCCAGCCCCCACCGAGCCCACATTTATCATGTAATTGGTTTTCAGAGTGTGAACTAGACAGTCAGCTTTGTACAGTTCAGGACCATCACTGACCTATTCACCACTCTATTCCTGTGTAGCACATATTAAGACTTTATCTTGGCTGGGGATTTAGCTCAACAGCATAAGTGCCTGCCATCCAAGCAGGCAGTCCTGAGTTCGATCCCCGGTACCAATAAAAAGGAAAAAGACAAAAAAAAAAAAAAAAAAAAAAGACTTTATCTTGTTTTTGGTACTGGGGATCAAACTCATGACCTCGCACTTGTCAGGCAGGCGCCTACACTACTGAGCTATATCCCCAGTCCGCATATTAAGACTTTAATAAAAAAAATTACTGAACAAAAGAATGCTAAGTATTTATATTAGCTGCAGACATTCACAATGTAAGTCACTTGGGACGTGAACCTTTGCCACCCTCTCAGGATGGGGTGGACACTTCACAGCAGGAGTGGCTTCTTTCCAAGGGTAGACAAGGAGAGTGAAATACCCATTTATGGGGTCATTATAAGTTAATTGTAGGAGCAGCATGGAGGAAGTTATGTGGGTTACTCTGCCTATTTTACTTTATTTTATTGTCTTTTTGAGACTAGAGTTTCATTTCGCTATGCTTTTGAACTTACTTTGTAGCCCACACTAGCCTCAAATTCCCAGTGATCCCCCTGCCTCGGCCTCCTGAGTGCTAGGATTACAAGGGTGCGCCGCCACGCCCAGCTCTCTGTCCCTTTTAGAAGCTCCCAGGGAAATTGGTGGGGGAAGGCCAGGTATGGTGGCCAGGAGCTGCATGTTACACCCATGCCGAAAGCTCTGCTTCCGGGACTGGAGCTCCTGACACAGGGGAGCTGCGTGAGTGTGCAGCACATTCTTCAGTGAGTTCCTGATGCCCTTCCCATGGGGAAGCAAATGAACTAAGAAGCTCATCACAGTTATTTTCCAGCCCCTGCAGGCAAGCGGGACTCTTTCTTCCCCCGGATCCTGAGGGATCGCCAGGGAGGGAGCCAGTTTCTTCCACCTCTGCACAGACCGAGGCGGTCAGGTTCCCGAGGGCCTGACTACTGCCCACAGATGGAAAACTCGGGCCTGAAGCCTGAGAGCCTCTTCTGGAAAACTCGTGATGAGCCCAGTTCCCCTCGTGCTAGGAGGGGCCTGGCTTTATATTTTCTTCACCCTTTGGGGCTTCTCTGCTTCTTCGTCAGTCTGGTTCTCGGGGCTCACAGGGCTTGAAGCTCTGCAGTTACACAGCAGAGAGAACTTGCCTCCTCTTGGCAACCCACCCATCTCCCTGAGCTTCTTTCCCAACTCCAGGATGGCACCTTCCTTGGGGCTGTGAGTGCCACCACCTCCACAGAGTCTGAAGAGAAGCCACAGGAGGAGTCTGTGCAAATCCCCAAAAGGTTGAAGAAGGCACTGGCAGTCAGTGTGGAAGTACAAGGCCATAAATATGACAAGGATAATTTGGGCGAAATCTGGCCAGGGATTCAATTTCCTCTTTCTCTAGAAGATAACTGTGGTTTATTTCAAAATCCAAAGCCACTGTGCAGAATTACAATAATATGCTTGCTCTCATGTAGAACTGTGTGGTTGGTGCAGAAGTAATTTTCCATCTTATTTGACCCAAGCCTTGTAAAATCCCAAGAGACTTCAGCCCTTGTTATTCTTCCCAGTGGACCAAGGACATTGCTGGGTCTGAAATCTGGTCTTTTCGATCTTCCTGAAGGTGCCAGGGAGAGTTATGTGCTTGTGCATTGGTTCCACTCAACATGAGATGAACAGGTCCCTGTGGATGCAGGCCCCGCCATTAGTCTGAAAAGCAGCTGCACAGACACCGCGGTACAGCTCAGGATGTGTGTGCCAGGCTTCCTTGCAAAGATTTCCATATGGCTTTGTGCAGATCTAGTGCTATATTTGAAAGTTTCAATCCCAGGCTTATAAAATGAATTTTCCCATTCTCTTAAGAATGAGACTTATAAACTGGGCATAGTGATGCATACCTGTCATCCCAGAACTTGGGGAGGCTGAGGCAGGAGGATCATTGTGAGTTTGAGACCAGCCTTGGCTACAGTGTGAGCTCAAGGCCAGCCTGAACTGCATAGTGAGACCCCATCTCAAAAAGACAAAAAAGCCAAAAAAAAAAAAAAACCCCAAAAGACAATGAGGCTTGTCACATTAAACTGCCTTACATGAAGATACTCTGACGTGTTTGACTAAGAAGTAAATATTCGTTCCAGGTAAGCCATGGAAATCTTTGGTTCACCCTCTGGTTCTGGGTGTGAGTCTGCTTCCCCTACCCCTCTCCCAGGAATGTGGTCTGCAGAGGGAACAGAGGAAGAGATATAACCCCCAATCCCCAGTTCAGAGTAGAATGTCAAATTGTATAATATAATAAATTGAATAATATAACATGTTTGAATAATATGGTGTATTATATAAATGCAGGATACTATGTCAATAAAAGGTATTGTTTGCCTTATTAGTGATAGTAGTAAACGAGAGGTATTTTTGTGTTGTCTTTAGCTCTTATTGCTACAGAAGCTTTCAGAATTTCCATTGTTATCCAGGTTCTTAGCTTGAAACCCAGTTTTATATCAAACCAGGAATTTACGTGGGCCAAGCATCACCATAACCATCTTTCAAGTGTATGTGAGTGTGGAAAGCGAGGTGTAGATTAGAAGTGTGATGCACTGGGAAACCATGATCACCAAGGTGTGACATTGTGGCTGCTCCGTCTAGGTGACCCGGATGGCCTTCATCAGTTGGACGGGACTCCTTTAACTGCTGACGACATCGTCCATAAAATCGCTACCAGGATTTATGAGGAAAATGACAGAGGAGTATTCGACAAGATCGTTTCTAAACTGTTGAATCTCGGCCTGGTAAGTTGTGTGCAGAGGGTAGAGAGTCAGGCCGCTCCATCTCGACTAACACCCAGGTGTTCAGAGCCCACCCACTATGTACTTAAGGAGGGTGGGCTGCCCTTGACAAGTTTCTATTTTATTAGAAGAACTAGATGAGCACACGAGCCCAAACCCAGGCATCCTATAGACTGGACAGTCCAGCAGGGGCAAAGAGAGGTGTCTGAAAGGATCTCAGGAGGATGGTAGGGTTGTCACCAGCATAAGTAGTAGACAAACGTGATGATCAAAGAAGTAACAGATGCAATGGCAGGTGACGTGTGTCAGACACTCTAAGCGGTCTCATGTCACCCAGCCTTGGCTTAGCCATCTGCCTTACCCAGCCTGGCAGGTTTAGAAAGATGTTAACTTTCCAGAGTCCCAAGCTGGCCTGACCTTGTTTGTCTAGTTTTTTGGTTTTGGTGGTTCCTGGGAATTGAACTCAGGGCCTCATGCTTACCAGGCAGGAGCTGTGCACTGAGCTGAATCCCTGGCTCCTGTGACCTTGTCTGTTGAAGTAAGGACTCTGTGGGTTTCCACAGGCAGGTTGGCAGTCACATGGTTGGTGTCCCCAAGCCAATGTGTGACACAGGTATAGGAGAATTGTCCAGGGGCTGGGGATTTAGCTCCGCGGCATATGGGCCTGCCTTGCAAGAGTGCAGTCATAAGTTCGATCCCCAGTACCAAAAAAAAGAGAATTGTCCAGAAATAGCCCAAAGATTCCTCTTCTAAAAGTGCATGTGCAGTTCAGGACTTATCTAGATTATTTTTTTAATTGGGAGCCTGAGAATAGCAGTTATATGTGTTTTGCCCTTTATAACAGATCACAGAAAGCCAGGCACACACGCTAGAAGATGAAGTTGCAGAAGCTTTACAAAAGTTAATTTCAAAGGAAGCCAACAGTTATGAGGAGGAGCTCAATAAATCCATAAGCAGGACTGAGAATCAGGCTGGCAAAATCTCGGAGAAAGTGGTATGTATGTGTGTACATTATGTATATGTGTACATTATGGCTGCATGTAAATGCGTGTGCACAGGTGTGTGTATGCATGGTGAGTATATCTGTCTATAATTAGTACATTACTTGATGCCAAAGAAGGTTTGGAGCATGTGGCATTTTTAGCCCACTTGAAATGTATATAAGGTAAAAGATATAAATATACTCTACAGTGAAATAATTAGAAGTCACATATCATAGTCTGTTATATAGTAAATGTTACCTGTTATGCCACACTGTAAAAAAACAGTTAATATGCAAAATAACATTGTCACATAATAGGGGCTGCATAGTCTTAGTACCCTGGAACCAAATACCTCATCGCTGTTTTGGCGTTCTGTTTCCATTTGAAGTAGATGTTATCCATTTTCCCTTGACAATGACCAGCCTATCCCTGCTCCGTGAATTCTCTCCTGTTTTTTGAGACAGGGTCTCACTATGCAGTTCAGGCTGGCCTTAAGCTTACTTTATAGTCCAGGCTGGTCTCGAACTTGCAACAATCTTCCTACCTCAGCCTTCCATGTGCTGAGATTCCCAGAATTCTCTTTAGGATTCTAGATGAAGCTGGCCCTAGGAGGATGCCCAGCTCCTTGCCTCTCCTCTGGTTCTCCCGATCACCGGTCCTCCTGTCCTCCAACAGCTGATCTCAAATACAGAGAAAGAGCTTGCAGACTTGGGGTTGTTTTAGAGGAGCTAGAAAATAGAAATCGGATCTGTTTTTTTACTCAATAGCCTAAAAAAACGCTCTCAACTTCCAGTCCCCGCCTGCTGCCATCCATTTAAACAGCTTCTAACTGCAAGCCATCCTCTCTTAAAAAACAAGGCACCAACACTTCGTAGGTTCCTCAAAGAACAGCTGGCTCAGGCTTATGGGTCTGAACTGAGCTGATGCAGCTATTTCCACGATCTTGCTCTCGTTACTCGTCTCCCGAGTACCAAGCACTGAAAACACTGTGCTTGTTTTCCAAGATGCCAGACCTGCCATGGAGAAGATTCTGGTCTGGGGGAAGAGGCTCGCAGTTCTCAGGTGGCCCTTGTCTGTGGCACAACGGCCTGTCCCGTGAGGCCTCAGAAAAATAGGAATCTGTCCTGCACCAGGTGGGCGACTAGCGCTGAGAGCTGCAGATCAGCTTGGATCTTGGCCTCGAGAAGCAGAGATGGGGCAGGAAGTGTGAATGGGTCAGCACTGCCGACCCAGGGGCCAGCCTGGGCGTGGAGCCAGCCAGCCCATGCAGAGCCCTGTCGGCCTGGTAGACAGCCTGAGCTCTACTGCCACGGCCTTGGGAAACATCAGAGGATTCTGTTACATTTTATAAAGAGAAGAAGTTTATTTGGCTTGCAGTTCTGAAGGCCAGAAAGCCCCAGATTGGGTCATCACGTCTAGCTTGGGCCTTGTGCCGCTCCCCACGCATGGCGGAATGAACTGGTGTAGGGGCCAGACCTCGGGGTGGGGTGGGGGCGGGAGGGTGCTGCTGCCCAACTCAGGACCACCTGCTTCCCGCCAGGGCACCAGTCTGCCCCCAGGAGAGACACCGCTGCCAGTGACCGCTTTCCCCACAACTTACCGTCCAGTGTTAGCGTGGGCTCCGGCGGAGACAGCCACATCCCAGCCAAGGCGGAATTCAAGCCAGGGGCTTTGGGGTCAGGCTGTTTAAGCATCAGCCTGGCTACCACGTGGGAAATGAGTGTTGTAAAGAGATTTGAGGGGGCTGGGGTGCAGGTTAGAGAGAGAGCTGGGGGCAGAGTGGGGTAGGAGAGAGGGAGGGAGAGACCAACATAGGAGAGAGAAAAGGAGAGAGAGAGAGAGGGACAGAGACAGATGGTAGAGACAGAGACGGAGGGAGGGAGGACGAGATAGCTGTGGAATGGGGAACAGGACCAACAAAGGCACTGATGGAGGGAAAGAGAGGAGGAAGGAAAGCTCTTAATTCCTGACTGGTCCCTGGGAAGGTGAGTGTGCTGCTCCTCAGATGGGAACCCTGAAGGAAATCAGATCTTGAAGAAAAACACTATACAGACAGCCATTAAAACCTCACCTAGAAATACGCAGGTGTGGCCGCTGCTGCCACTGGACATGCTGAAAATGCTTGGTGCAAGCAAGTGGGCCTCTGTGCTAGGGAGAGGTGTGGGCCGTTGTCAGCCAGGAGAGACCAAGAGAACAGAGTCCCAGAGCTGGCCCGTCCCCTGCAGCAGGAGCCGCCACTCATTGCGGGACACTGGGCTGGGCTCTGTCCCTGGAGCTCAGGGAGCCCTGCAGGGCGGATGGAGGGGTCCCATCCTCGAGGTCAAGGGCATCAGGGGACAAGGGGTTGAGCCGACGTCTCATGAGTTCTAACCAAATGCCCACTTTCTATTGCTTTGCCCCTTTCCTGGAGACCCTAAAGGCAGCAACTCAGAATAGTCTGACACATGGGGAAAGTGATGAAACGGTGTCCAATGCGCTGACGTTGGTGAATGGCCTGGAGAGGAGAACCCAGACCTTCGGAGAAGACGACTTCGAGGAGCTCCAGTACTTTCCGAATTTCTATGCGCTGCTGAAAAGCATCGATTCAGGTAACCACTGCACTTTTTGACCATGGGGAACAGAAATCGTAATTCTAGGATGTGTGTTGGCTGGGTTTTGCATCCTGTTTTCAGTTTCCAAAGACAATCACCAATACTGTTCACCTGCAGCTGTGGGGAAAATCATTCACAACTGTTTTTTCAGAAGTGCACAGGTCGTGGGAATGTTCAGGAAAGAGCAACCAGGAAAGGTGGAGTTTCTGGATGATGTGATCCTGCTCATAGAGGGTCCATTTTATTTGTTCAGCAAACAATTAGTGAACAAGGTACAGGAACAGATGTCCTGCAGATAGGAGGGGAGCCTGGCAGTGCCGTAACGTATTCAGCCTCAACACTCACTGCAACCCCTTTTTGTTCTCAGCTTTATTGGGACATCAAGGGCAAAAATTGCAAATAAAGGCATACGACTTGATATTTTAATATATGAATATGCATTGTGGAGTTATCATGATAATCAAGTCATTAGCATACCCACAGCCTCCTCCTCTACCACCTCCTCCTTCTCCTTTTGGCTTCTGTTTTTGTGAGAACGCTTAAGATCTGCTCTCTCAACAAACCACAAACATACAGCCCAGTGCTGCTACTGCGGTCACCAGGCTGCGTGTCCCCCAAGTGTTCCTCTTGTATAATTGAAACTTTTTTTTTTTGGTACTAGGGATCAAACTCCGGATCTCATGCTTGCTAAGTAGGTGCTTATGCCATTGAGCTAAACCCCAGCCCGAATAATTGAAACTTTAAAACTGACCAACATGTCCTTGTCTCCACCTCCCCAGCCCTGGCTGCCACTTTTCTCCCTGCTTCTGTGAGTTTGACTCTTAGATTTTGTGTTCAGTTGGCTCTCAGCATCCAGAGAACCAGTTCCGGCCTCCCCTGGACATCCAAACCCACACATTGCTCAAGTTATGTATCAAAATCAGGTCATAGGGGCTGGGGATTTAGCTCAGCAGCATAAGTACCTGCCTTGCAAACAGGCAGTTGTGAGTTCGATCCCCACTACCGGAAAAAAACAAAAACAAAAACAAAACCAGCTCGTAGTTTTGCATAACCCTCACACATCCTGCCATGTGCTTTACACCATCTCCAGGGGCCTTACCTAAAGGCCAGTGTTACCTAAAGGCTTGTTAGGCTGTTTGTTTGGGGAACAAAGATAAGAAAACACCATGTTTGTCATGACACCTTTTTCCTTGAATATTTTCAACCCCTGGTTATTTGAATCCCTGCATATAGAGCCCACAGCCAGGGCTATTTTGAAGTGAGATCACAGAGGAGGTCTCTCTGTGTCTGGCCTATTTCATTTAGCCTATTTCTAGATTCATCTGCCTAGTGGGGGGAAAAAAAGGAAGTCATACCATCTGTACTGGATCTTTTAAAAAGTCTTCCCTTCCACTCTGTGGGAACAGGGTGTAGAATCTGGCTCATCCTTCTCTACACGACTCAAGACATTGCTGTATAAACATTTCCAGCTTCAGCCTTCAAATGAGCTAAAATAGACACTGGATAAAAGGAAACCAGGAGCCCAAAACACATTTGGAAAATTATTATTATTATTATTTGGTATCAGGAATCAAACTCAGGACCTTGTGCTTGCCTGGCAGGCACTGTGCTGCTGAGCTAAATCCCCGGCGTATGTTTGGAAAAGTATTTGATGTTGCTTTAAACAAATTCATCAGTGTATCCACTCTCTTCTCTCGTACTGTGCTGAGTTAATGGGAGGATTCGGCCCATGTTTATTTTGGTTAATCTGCAAAGAGGATAACAATGGCCAGGGCTCTGTTACTGTTCAGACAGAGGCTCTTGCCTCACCTTCCCACTTTCTTCTCCCTTTCAAAAATGCAGTCCAGCTGTGTGCACACCTGTAACCCAGCATTTGAGAGGCTGAGGCAGGAGGATGGCCGTAGTTCAGGGGCAGCCAGGCTACACTGTGAGTTCAGTATAGCCTGGGCTACATAGGGAGACCCTGTCTCAAACCCAAAGCTGCAGCCCTGGGTCCTCTGCTGGAGACTCTGTAACTGGACTCTCCCTGCCCTGAGGCATGACCTCAGTGTGAGCCTTCATTCCCGGAGAATTCCCACTGTCCTTTTGCTGCAGACCCTGGCCAGAGGCAATGGCCCTATGCAGGTGTCCACAGGGCCGGTCTGTCTTGAGGGTCCCTTGTGAGCCTCCTTGCTCTGCTGGCTGGCAGATGCCCAGTTCAGGATCTCTGGCATCCTGGTGAGTCACATGATCCCAGGGCAGTGTCCACTGTGCCACTGCACAGAGAATGTGCACAGATGCCTCATCACTGTTGTGGCCTTGGCTTCAACAAGTTCAAAAAATAAGCATGAGCTATGATGGATAAATACCATAGATGTTTACATTTTTTAAAAAATTTTATTTAAGGAGAAAAAGAAAACAAAAAGGTTACAAGTTATACAGAATTTCAAAAAAAATAAACAGGAAATCACTAATTAATAGGTTACATGTTGTCATCTTAGAAATAGTTGTTCAAGTTACAAAATTAAAGCATATAAAGTGGACATTCAAACAGTGAGACTGCAAACAGTTCTGTTCAGTGATCCAACAAAAACTCAGTAATATGGTTATCTATCTTATACACTTAAATATACATGCAGTTATATCCTTTAGAGCACTTTCTTTTCCTCTCTTTTTTACAATGACAATTGTGCATTTTGGGTTTTATTACTCCCACAGTTCTTATTACTTTTTTTTTGAAGAGAATAAAGTCAACTGTGACATAACAAAACAGAGTCAGTCAAATCAAAAGGATGGACATAGTACATAATACAAAAACAGAATACAAGGTGATCAACAATGGTTTATCATAATACCTCTTGCTGTCTTAAAAAGAATTGCCTATATCATCAGTTATAATAAAATTAACAAAACAGTAAAGAACAAAACCAATAAAACCAAAACATTGGAGACATTACAGGACTTCAAAAGAAGATAATAGTCAAACCAGAATGGGCAGCATAGTGAATCTTATTGTCTTCACAATTGTTGCCTATACTTTCAAATTTGGTACTATTAAGCAAAGCATAATAGAGTAAAATCAGTCAAAACAAGATGGTGGAAGACTTCTGGGAGAACATGGCAGACAGATAGCAGCAGCTACGGAGGCTCTCCGAGAGACCCAGCTTAGAATCCAGGAATAGTGCAGAGTGAGGAATCCTAACCAAGAGGAGATATACCCTGCTGACCCAAGAATGAATTGGGCTAAGAGAAACCAACTGGGAATGCAATCCTGGTGCTATAACAGGAACAAATAAAGCCTCAGCGTGGAAGCTGGAGCCCGCGCCATTGGAAGCCGCAATTTGGGTTTCCTGCCGTAGCTGTCTGAATCGGTTCGGCAGGGAGAGAGACGTGTGAAAGCTCTGAGAACAGGAATCAGTGAATGGAGTTGAGAGATGGACGGGCGGGGAGCCATGCATCGACCTGCAGTGAGTGAGGGAAACTGGGACTCTTCCACAGTCTAGGAGGCTCCAACAGAGGACATTCTGGGACTGGGCAGACTTGCCGGAACAGGGCGCTGCAGTGACTTCAGTCACACATCCCCCTGTCAAGCGGGATTGGTGAGCAGTGCCTAGCCTATGTGACGCTGCTGGCTGAGACCCAGTAGGCTAGCACAACCCAGGTCCCAGCGCCTGGAGGTGCACCCTAGTGGTGAAGCCTGGAGGGGTGGGTCCCATATAGGCTTCCCGGTCTGTAACTCCCTGGTGTGCTGCAGTAGGCGGGAACACCTAGCCGGTGCAATTCAATCAGACTGTGGCCGACAGGGAAGGAAGCTGGGCCTCCTATATATGCTTGCATATATAAGGAACAAAGAATATGTGAAGAGGGAGCAACAAAAAAAGCTCCTCGGCCCCCAATCCTGAGAAACAGGCAATAGCAGACACAGCACCAATGGACATAAAGCGCTATCTCCAGAGCCTCATAGATGAGTTCAGGAATGAAGTTATTAATGACCTGAAGCAAGACATAAGCAGAATAGTTAGAGAAATGCTAAGCACCACCCAAGAAAAAGCAGATGGTGGAATGGAAGAACAGAAAAAGAGGGGAGAATTGTTTGATGGAGAAAACAGAGAAAACATAGAATACGTGAAGCAGGTTCAAAGAGATTACCAGGAAACTAAAAACTCAGTCGAAAACTGGCATAACAGCTTGAAAGAGACTAAGGATAGATTATCTGAACTGAAGGGCAGATTTGTAATATGGGAGCATGAAATGAAAAACTTCTTAAAAATAACAAAGAAACAAACAGCAACAATACAAAGACTAGAAGATGATAGGAGGATCTATAACTTAAGAATTAAGAACATAAAAGAAGAGGTAGGGACACAAACAAATGAACTACAAAAGCTACTCACAGAAATAATCCAGGAGAATTTTCCTAATTTAGCAAAAGGTAAAGATACTCAGATGTATGAAGCACACAGGACCCCAGCAACCTACAACCCAAACAGAGCTACACCCAGGCATATAATAATCAAAATACCAGAAATCCAATATAAAAACAGAATATTAAAAGCTGTCAGAAACAAGAAACACATCACTTACAAGGGAACACCCATCAGAATTACAGCAGACTTCTCGGCACAAACCATCAAATCACCAAGAGTGTGGGGGGAAATAATTCAAGCTTTGAAAGATAATAACCTACAGCCAAGATTGAGATATCCTGCACAACTATCCCTGGAAATTGATGGAAAAACAAGGTGCTTTCAGGATAAAGAGGAACTAGGGGAATATGCAACCACCAATTCAACTCTACAAGAGAATACTGCAGGATATTCTAAAAAAGAAAAATATGAAGAATCCAGAAATAGTGGCAGAGAGGCCACAATGAATGGAGCAGAAAACAAAATGAAGAAGACAGACTGACAACTAATGACAGAAAAAGAGCTCAAGAGAAATGAGGCAGAGAAGATTGGATGATAGGAACAGCTATTTTGGAAAAAATGACATCATAATAGGTAGTGCTGATTTGGTATCATCTTGTTTTGAAGTCCCATCAAGCTTTTGTTCTGTCTCCATCAGTCTTAACATGTTGTATCTTATTGGATTTTATTATATGTGATAATATAAACAAAAACTTATACAGACAAGGAGATTATACAGAAACCATTGTTCATTTTCTGTTAGTTGATTCTAAATACCCTGGAATACTGTCATTCTCTTGAATGGTTTTACATTGTCTTGATATGTTTGATGCTACAGTATATGAAGTTATATTCAAAGATTTCAAGGAAAGAGACAATATGGTAACTACTTTTATGTTGGGACTATCTTGTGGTGAAACACTATTTTGCTTAAATAGTTATGTTTTGATCTGCACTGTTTTGTTGTTATGCCCTCTTTTATCTCAATCTCCATTTTATTATTTTTATCCTTTTAATTAAGGGAAAAATAAATAAAAAATAGCAGGATATAATATAGTAACCCACTTTGATTTTCTATTAACTTGATTTGAAGCCCTGTATTGCTCTCACCATCTTGTTTTGACTGATGTTCCACTATTCTGTTTTGCTTGATAGTACCAGGTTTGAAAGTTTAGGCAACAGCTGTGAAGATAGTGGGATTCATTATGACGCCCATACTGGTTGACTATTATCTACTTTTGAAGACCTGTAATGTCTCCAATGTTTTGGTTTTGTTGGTTTCATTCTTTACTGTTTTGTTCAATTTTATTATAACTGATGATATAGGCAGTTCTATTTGAGATAGTGGGAGGCATTATGGTAACCATTGTTGATCACCTTTTATTATGTTTTTACATTATCTATTATGTCCACCCTTTTGATTTAATTGACTCTGTTCTGTGGTCATGTTTGGTTTTACTCTCTTCCAAAAAAAGTAATAAGAACTGTGGGAGCAATAAAACCCAAAATGTGTAATAGTCATTGTACAAAGGAGAGGAAAAGAAAGTGCTCTAAACAGTATAACTGCATGTATATTTAAGTGTATAAGATAGACAATGATATTACTGAGTTTTGTTGGATCATTGAACAGAACTGTTTGCAGTCTCACTGTTTGAATGTCCACTTTATATGCTTTAATTTTGTTACTTGAACAAGTATTTCTAAGATGACAATATGTAATCCTTTAACTAGTGATTTCCTACTGTTTATTTTTTTTCTGAAATTCTGTATAACTTGTACCCTTTTTCTGCTTTTTTTCCTTTTTCTCCTTAAGTAAAATTTTAAAAAATAGTAAAAAAAAAAAAAAAGATGGTGAGAGCAATACAGGGGTTCAAATCAAGTTATTAGGAAATCAAAGTGGGTTACTATAATATATCCTGCTATTTTTTATTTTTTCCCTTAATTAAAAAGACAAAAGACAAAAATAAATAATAAAAAAGGAGATTGAGATAAAAGAGGACATAACAACAAAACAGCATAGGTCAGAACATAACCATTTAAGCAAAATAGTGTTTCACCACAAGATATCCCGACATGAAAGTAGTTACCATAGTGTCTCTTTCCTTGAAATCTTTGAGTATAACTTCATATACTATAGCATCAAACATATCAAGAGAATGTAAAACCATTCAAGAGAATGACAGTATTATAGGGTATTTAGAACCAACCAACAGAAAATGAACAATGGTTTCTGTATTATCTCCTTGTCTATAAAAGTTTTTGTTTATATTATCATATATAATAAGATCCAATGAGATACATGTTAAGACCGAAGGAGACAGAAGAACAAAAGCTTGATGGTACTTCAAAACAAGATGATATTAAATCAGCACTAGCTATTATGATGTCTTGTTTTCTCCAATATAGCTGTTCATACCATCCAACCTTCTCTGCCTCATTTCTGTTGAGCTCTTTTTCTATCATTAGTTGTCAGTTTGTCGTCTTCATTTCACTTTCTGCTCCATTCATTGTGGCCTCTCTGCCACTGTTTCTGAAATCTTGGTATTTTTCTCTTTTAGAGTGTCCTGCAGTATTCTCTGTAGAGGAGAATTGGTAGTTGCAAATTCCCCTAGTTCCTCTTTATCCTGGAAGCACCTTGTTTCTCCATTAATTTCTAGGTATAGTTGTGCAGGATATATCAGTCTTGGCTGGGGGTTATTGTCTTTCAAAGCTTGAATTATTTTGCCCCACATTCTTCATAATTTAATGGTTTGTGCCCGAGAAGTCTGCTGTAATTCTGATGGGTGTTCCCTTGTAAGTGATCTGTTTCTTGTCTCTGACAGCTTTTAATATTCTGTTCTTATATTGAATTTCTGGAATTTAGATTATTATATGCCTGGGTGTAGTTCTGTTTGGGTTGTAGGTAGCTGGGGTCCTGTATGCCTCATAGATCTGAGTATCTTTACCTTTTCCCATATTAGGGAAGTTCTCCTTGATTGTTTATGTGAATAGCCTTTGCAGTTCATTTGTTTGTATCCCTGTTTTTTCCTTTACATTCTTAATTCTTAAGTTTATAGATCCTATCATCCTCTAGCCTTTGTATTGTTACTGCTTGTTTCCTTGTTATTTTTAAGTTTTCCTTTCATGCTCCCACATTACAAATCTGCCCTCCAATTCAGATAATCTATCCTTAGTCTCTTTCAAGCTGTTATGCCAGCTTTCAATAGAGTTTTTAGTTTCCTGGCAATTTCTTTGAACTTGCTTCATGTATTTACGTTTTCTCTATTTTCTCCATCAAACAATTCTCTGCTTTTTTCTGTTCTTCCATTCCACCATCTGTTTTTTCTTGGGAGGTGCTTAGCATTTCTTTAACTATTCTACTTACATCTTGCTTTACTTGGTTAAGTACTTCACTTTTGAACTCGACTATGAGGCTCTGGAGATATCACTTAATGTCTATTGGTACCATGCCTGATAATTGCATTTCTGTCCTCATTGTCCTTTGCATTTACCTTTCCTGGATCCGTATTCTCAGGATTGGGGACTGAGTACACTTTCTTGTTGCTCCCTCTTCCCATACTTTTTGTTCCTTCCATAGAAGTGTATATAGGAGGTCCAGTTTCTTTCTTTGTCAGTTTCAGTTTGTTTGAATCCCGCCAGCTAGGTGTTCCCGCCCACTGCAGTATAGTAGAGAGACACAGACCTGGGCACCTATGCTGGGCCCACCCCTGCAGGTCAGTCAACCTGCTGAAGGCTTCACTACATTAGGGTGCACTGCCAGCGCAGGGACCTGTTTGGACTAGCCTACTGGGTCTTAGTCTGCGGCATCAGCCAGGTCAAGTACTCCCCATCAATCCTGCTTGAGAGGGGAATATGTGACTGAAGTCCTGCAGCATCCTGTTCGGGCTAGTCTGCCCAGTCCCAGAATGTCTTCTGTTGGAGCTTCCTTATCTATGGAAGGGTCCCCGTTCCAATCAGTCACCGTGGGTCAATGCAGGACTCCCCGCCAGCTCTGCTTTCAATTCGGTTTGCAGATTCCCGCTCTCAGAGTTTTTGCGTCTCTATCCCTGCTGTGCCAATTCAAATGCAGCAGTGGTGGCAGGAAATTCAAGCCGCTGTTTCCAGAGGCATGGATTCCAGCTTCGGCCCTGGGACTTTAGCTGTTCCAGTCATAGCACCGGGATTGCATTTCCAGTTGGTTTCTCTCAGCTTAGTTTGTTCCTGGGTCAGCAGGTTATCTCTCCCCCTGCTTAGGACCCCCCACACCATACCATTCCTGGAATCTAAGCTGGCTATCTAAGAGAGCCTCTATAGCTGCTGTTATCTATCTACCATGTTCTCCTGGAAGTCCTTTTTTTTTTTTTTTATCGGTACCAGGGATCGAACTCATGACCACGCGCTTGCAAGGCAGACACTTATGCTGCTGAGCTAAATCCCCAGCCTATGTTTACATTTTTAAAAAATGTTATAATAATGGCTTTGAATTTGCAGTGATCCTCCTGCCTCAGCCTCCAGAGTGCTGGGATTACAGGTGTGTGCCATCATTGCCTGGCTTTTTTCTATCTTTTTTTAGGGACCCAGGCTCCCTCCTACCCTAAACTCCCTTCAGTGGTCCTCTTTTTCATATAACCAAGAGCTCCAGTTATCAAATAATTTCTTAAAATGTATTTAATGCCAAAAAATGAATAAAAGTAGCTAAAATTTTTAAAAAGTTACAAAGACACACTATCATTGACTTCCCTCAAAATCTTCCCCTCAAGTCAAATCTACTCACCCCATGGTTCTTGGCACCTTTGTAGCAACCATGGAGAGCTCTCCTGAGGGCTTCTGGCTGCCCTGTTGTGGCTGCCTCAGTGTCCTTGAATTGATTCAAAGTGTCCACACCTCTGCTGGCCACTTTGACTTGGGGAGAAGTCTGACAGGGCCAGTTCTGGTGAATAGTTGGGTGAGCACGCAGCATCATGTTTTCCCAAGCCTGTTCTTTCCTTGGATGCCACACGGCAGCAGCATTCACCGTGTTTCTGATCACACCTTGTAAATACCAGGACTTCTGGATGGTTTCACAAAGCGACAAGAAGGTGGGGTGCTCTTGAAGCAAGGCGGGGTATTTGGAGGGGAGTCAATGGCAGTGTATCCTTTACTGTAATGCATTTTTAAAATTTAAATATTCAACACTTATTTTGATCACTGTGAATACGTGTTCTTATTTTTGATGAGGGAAATTAAGCGTAATTAATGAATACAGATGTTTTTTATCCCCAAAGACTTGCTGCCTGAGAGAAGTTTTAGGCAGCAGCCTTCTCTCCTTGAGGTCTATGTGATCTCAGGTGGAAAGCTGATCCTTTACCAATACCATCTTTAGATGAAATTAAGCCTTAATGCCAAGTAATAACTGCTCATTTCCTCAGAAGTTTGGTATAGCTGTGCAGTGCCCTGGATTCCCAGTTAAGTCGTAGATTTTCTTTGTTTTTTAAATTAAATGTATGTGGTGTTAGCTATATGTGGAGGAAGGAATAGTTTAACAAGATGCCGTACTTCGTAATTTGGTATGGAAGACGAAGCTATTCTCCACTGAATTGCTTTGAATTATTTCGTCCTTTTCTATAGAAAAGGAGGCAAAGGAGAAGGAAACACTGATCACCATCATGAAAACGCTGATTGACTTTGTGAAGATGATGGTCAAGTATGGCACCATCTCTCCAGAGGAGGGGGTCGCCTACCTTGGTGAGAAGTCCGGCTGCTCTGCTCTTGCTGTGATGGTTTTTGTTGTCCAAAGCCAACTGGGGATTTGGCAATAATTTCCTCACTTGTTTGATAATGTATTCCCCAACAGCCCAGATCTCCCGGGTAACCAGAATTCCCCAGTGTGATGAGGAATGCAAATGAAATTAACCAGAAATCAACTCTTTCCAGATCTAACTTGAGTATAACCATTTCTCATGTATTGCATTTAATGTTATTACCATTTTCTAATAATTCCCAGAATGGCCATCTGATTAAAATTTAACTCAATTTTTTCCCCATTGTGTTCAGAAGATTGAGACTAAGAGTCCTGATTGGACCTCGGGGTCCTGGCTCCTGGTCCCCACACATTAAGCCTTGGGGTCTCACCTTCTGCATCCATCAAGTGAAAGACTCTTTTGTCTCTAACAGGCTGTAAAAGGTGCAGGGACTCTACCCAAAGGCTGTAGCCTGCCTCTCATTGGCCTGGATTGAGTCACATGCTCGTTCCTGAACCAATCACTGTAGCCTAGGATCAGCACCATCCTGATTGGTCAACCTGGTCAACATTCAGCCACCCTGGAGCTGAATATTGGGATCACAGCAGCTGGGTGTCCTGACCACAGGTGTTGCATAAATCAAAGCACAGATCTTAACCCTGGATGTGTTCTGGCAGTGGCCAGAGGCAGAAGGGACTTCTGCACTTCTAACCTGATGATCTTGGATTATGTGCCTACCCAACCCAACCCAACCCAGAGTCCAGGATTCCTAGAAGTTAAATCCAGACCAGAGCATATTTCTAGCAGCATTAATATTTTTGGAATTGGTAATATGGTATTTCTGGTGAGATTTAAACATTTTTAGTACAAAGTTTCTTCACAGCAAGGGCCCAAGTCTCTTCCTCACACTGGGGCATGCAGGTGGTAGAGTGTGAACTGTGGAGGGGCAGAGGTCATGTGCAAAGTTTATTCCTTCCCTTTATTTCCCCAGAAAACTTGGATGAAACAATTGCTCTTCAGACAAAGAACAAGCTAGAAAAAATTGCTACTGACAATAAAAGCAAGCTTTTCCCAGGTATGATTTACTTAACTATTTTTGTAGCTTTCACCTTTTTAGGTGGTAAATAATAACTTTCAATAAGCATTAATAAAGAATTATAAATTTCAAAGTTAAGTATCTCAGATCCAACAATAGGGTTAAGGAGCTAGACCCTTTCTGTGTGGTTTATCTTGGTGTAGAAATCTGACACCTACAACCTCAAGCAGGAGAAGTACGTGTTGTCTCATAGTTTCAGAGAGTTCAGTCCATGGTTGGCTGCTCCACAGCAGAAACAGCGTGGTGGAAGGAACGGTGGAGGAAGCTGCTCAGACCATGGCATCTGGGAAACAGAGTGAGGGAAAGGTACTAGAGAGGAAGAGGCCAGGGCCCAGAGGGGGCCCCCAGGGCCGCGCTGCATGGCCCCCGCAAATGCACCCAGGAGTGTGCATCACTGGTCCTAGCTCCTAAGCTTTGCTCAAACTGATTGAGTTGACAATCAAGACTAACCATTCCAGAATGGAAAAGGTGGTATCGCAGAACCAGCAGCACTTCCCTAGTCCTCCTTCCACCCCACTTATTCCCTCTCGTCTGGGGTGGTCTGTGCTGCAGTCTCCTATATGCCTCCTTGGCTCGGTTTCTGTGGTTCTGCATCCCCAGGCATAACCCGGCTCAGCATGGCTCCACCTCTCGAGGGGGTGGCGGAGTGAAAGAGAACAGGCCAAGATTGTTCGCCGTAAGTTTCAGACTTATCAGGGCAATTATGTGCATAGCCTTCAGAGTGTTTTAGAGCCCTTTAAAGTAATGGTTTCATGCCTTCCATGATGACCAAAGCAAGGAACAAAATTGCAAAACTATGAAAAACATAGACACACACAATCTGTATGTGTGTGTTATACACCACAGTGCACTAGCAGATGTGTGACCCACAGCTGATTTCTGTCTTGTTATTTTTTCAATAATATAATAAATTGAACTCAGAACCTCATCACTTCAGCCAGGTAGGCGCTGTGCCGCTGAGCTATAGCCCCATCCCTATGGTAAAAATACTTTTTATTTAAAAAGATTTCTTGTTCCGCTGCTTGAGGCTGCTATTATATCAGCTCCAGACAGGTATAACATTGTTTTAAGCAGTTACCTAATCTCAGTATGAGATTTCTAGAAGCAGATATACTTATTTCTGAGTGAGGGGCACACAAGGGTTTTCCTTTTTGCACAACAAAGGCCTAGATCTCTTCCTCATGCTAGGGCGCCCAGGGCGAAAGGTGTGAAATATGGAGGGGCAGAGGGTCACGTACTGTTCTGGGTGCCAGCTCCTCCATGGGGAGCACTGACCAGCTGTATTATAATCTCACTGGGAACTGAGACCTACCATATTTTCTTTGGAACCTGAGCTACCTCAAAGAGTCGATCACCTTTGCAGTGATGGTAAACCTTTTAGAGACCAAATGCCTGAACTGTAGCCCAGAACTCACATACTAACAACAAAGTGCCAGCGCTGTAATTAAATCTGAATGCTGAGGTCTTAGCTTAGAAAAAACAACTGAGACACTAACATCTTTTGTCCTAAAAGAAACATAGGTTCACCACCACTGGCTTGTACTGATTAAAGAAAGACCAGTAGCTGGGCTCAGTGGTTCACATCTGCAGTCTCAGCTACCTGGGAGGCTGAGGCAGGCAGACCTTTTGATCCTAGGAGTTCAAGACCACCTTGAGCAACATAGCAAGACCTCATCACTAAACAATAACAATAATAATAATGTAAGACAAATAATCTACCCTCTAATGATGCAGTGCAGCAAAAAGGAAAAAGGCTAGACTAGAATTTGGAAAGCTGAGGGTTAGCCTAGTTTTCTTCTTCTTCTTTTTTTTTTTTCTTTTGTCTTTTTGAGACAGGGTCTCACTATGCAGTTCGGGCTGGCCTTGAGCTCACTTTGTAGCCTAGGCTGGTCTCAAACTCGCAATGATCCTCCTGCCTCAGCCTCCCAAATGCTGGGATTACAGGCATGAGCTATCACCCCCGGCTGAGTTTTATGTTGATTCAGGGGCAGCTTAGGGGTGTCTCTCCCACCTCTGGGACTCAGTTTCCTTTTCTGGGAAGTGAGGGTAGAGAGTTGTACAGAGCATCACTAACATTCCTGAGGAAAATGACCAGGCCGCAGACAGTACCTTTGCCGCTGAAGACACTGCTATATTACAGAAGAGCGAAGGGGCAGGAACGCAGGGCAAACTGGCCCCTCTGATTGCAGTGCCCTCGGAGAAGAGTCCTGAGGAGACCGACAGCACCAAGGAGGAGGCCGCCAAGATGGAGCAGCAGCATGGCACTCTGAAGGATTCCACCAAGGACAGCAGCAGCAGGCCAGTGGGGAAGACAGACGCCCCAAAAGGTATGGTCCGGTCTCTTCTTTGGGGAGGCCAGGGCTCCCCACACCACCTGCAGCAATCCAGGAAGCGAGCCACCCAGCTCCTCGTAGTCCGTGGGTCTCGGTGTGCAGCAGGCGGCGTCCTCCCCAGGGTTATGCTTGCCGGGGGAGGCAAGCACACCTGTGACACTCTCATTGGTTCCTGGATTCCATCCGGGGGCCGTCGGCATCCCAGCCTGGGGCTCCAATGCAGGGAGGAGTATTGATTCCCATTTGCACACCTGCTGGGCTCCAGTTCACCTCTGACACTTGAGGGTTCTCATGAAAAGTTCCTGCACAGCTAAATACTGTTCACTCCACAGGGTTATCAACTTCACCACTTAGCTGAACAAATTTGCTTAATAAGTAGGCAGTGATTACAACATGAAAAATACCTGTAAGAACTTGATTTAAAAATTACAAGGCTAATACCTGTGTTTTCTAAAATAGCTTCCATATCTATCATTTATATCCTCCTAGCGTTTTACCAACTGCCAGACATTCAAAGAAAAAGCCTTAATGAGCCATAAGTTCTAAGTTGTTCATCCCTTTTCATATCAGAATGTGGGTCTGGCTGTACAGGGGTGTGTGTGTGTGTGTTACTGAGGACTGAACCCAGGACCTTTGTAAAGAACTACATCCCCAGTCTTTTTGTGCTTGTTTTGAGAGATCTTGCTAAGTCACCAAATTGCCTAGGCTCAACTCAGACTTGTGATCCTCCTGCCTCAGCCTTCCCGAGTGCTGAGACTGTGAACATACACAACCATGCCTAGCTGCAAGCCCCGTTATTGCAAACTTACATAGTTATATTTTAGAAAATTCACCTCCCTATGTCTCTGATGGGTGTCCTTTTTCTGCAATTTGGTGTTTATGAGAAGTCATGAGAAAACACCTTGACCCTACCTGACTGTCCTGTCATGATAGATTGACCTCTTTGGAACAGTTGGAACCTGCTTAGGTGACAGCCCTGTCTTGTTAATGGGCTCGTAGAGGTCTTATTCCCTGGGAGCCACATGAGTGGCCAAGCTCTCCCAACTGAGGTGCATTGGCACTCATCTAATTTGTCATCTGAAAACTCCCTGGGCTCTCTTTTTATTGGCTAATGTGTGACCATCGGTGGGCACGAACACAAGGATTTGGTGTATTCCTCTGAACAAAAGGGCCAGTCAGGCTGACGGTACAACCTTAACTTGAGGGGACCTCTTGGTCCCCTTAGAGGTTCCCCACCCAACTTCTGCCACATGGGTGGGAACAGGTTCTTGTTCACACTTCCCGTTTCATGTGAGCAGTTCCACTTGACAATGATGATACCAGTGGTGATTTCATGTGCAGTTTGGCCCGGCTTGATCAGCAGCCGCCCTGACACATTATCTTTGCTTTGTGGCAACCACAGAGGTGAGAGTGGAGTTGGAAACAGTCTCCTTCCAGGAGCTGTTGTTTCTTTGGAAAACGTCTCAAGGGACATGGGCCGGGCTGCTGAGATCCAGGCAGAGGTGCTGCTTTCTCTGCAGCTGTTGGAGCTCTTTGCAGCAAAGCCAGACAAGCAGTCCCTGCTTGCTGTGTGACATTCTCAGTTCTTTCTCTGGCTTCTGGAACCTTTTCTCCAACCTGGATATCATTCACCACCACACTGTTGTCTCCGTGGACACAGCTGACTGCCGGCTCCGGGGGCCTTGTATTGTGCTGTGTGCAGTAAGGTTTGATGTGTCCTCTGGGCTCAGGAGGAGAGAACAGTGGGATAGTTGATTAACACCACATGATGGGGCAAGGGGCGGCAGGACGGCTGACATGTGTGCCACTGTGGGGACCCTGTAGGTCTGCTCTGGGTGAGTGGTGAACAAGCAGGGTGGAACTCACAGCAATCCTCCTGCCTCAGCCTCCTCAGTGCTGGGATGACAGAGGTGTGCCGTCATGCTCAGCTGCCCTTTTAAACTGTGGTGAAATACACAGAAAGTTTACCACCTGATCTATTTTTAAATGCACAGCTCAGGGGCACAAAGCACACTCACATTATTGTGTGACCACCACCGCATCTGTTGCCAGACCTCACCTTGTAGAACAGAAACTCTGTCCCCACTAAGCGACATCCCATCCTTCCCCTAACCCTGGGCTGTCTTCTTCCAGACTTGACCCCTCCAGGTCACCCCTCCAAGTGGATTCTTGGGTCCTGAGGCTCAGGGTGGGCTGCAGGCTTCCCAGTTTCCCTCGATGCAGGCTGAATGGTTCTCCACTGCCCCAACCACTGCCCACGCAGCCTCAAGGCCTTGTGAGCAGCACTGCCATGGACACAGACACACCACTTTGGCTCTTGGGGTACGTGACCAGAAGGACTCACCGGCTCCTGTGGTAAAATGCGCAGGAGAGTTACCACCTTAACATTCTCTGGTGGGTTTCCAAGGAAGAGCCGTGCTGCGGTCCCCAGCAGCTGCGTCGGCTCAGCTCCTCACCTGCATACACAGGGCTGTGGTTTATCCACAACCTGGTCACGCTTGCTTCGGGTTTCTCTTTGGCTTGGCTTGGTTTTGTGTCCTAACCAACACAAAGTGGAGGGTGAGTGGTAAACTTCTGAAAAACAGCTAACAGGAAAAGAGTGGCTGCAGCCTGAGCGGTCACATGACAACATACCTGAGATGAAGGGCAGGGGCCTGGCCTGGTCACAGCTCTGTGGGGGGTCCAGTTCCTGAGCCAGTGGGCCTCTGAACTGGGCTGAGGCACCATGTGGTGGTGGGATCCACATGGGAGGCACAGGGTCCTACGGTCCCCTCCAAGGGCAGACCTGAGCCACCCAAAGACCTTCACTGGCCACACCTCTGAAGGTTCCCTGCATCCCCAGTGGGCCCACCCTGGTCACCAGCCTTGAAGGTGGCCTGCAGGAGCCAGACTAGCAGAGTGTGTAGAGGTGAACAGTCGAGGGAGCGATGGACATGGAGAGATGAGGATGAGACTCTATCCATTAGTCTGTCTGTCCTTCTCTCTTCTTTCTCTTTGTATTAGTTTTTGGTGATCCTGGAGATCAAATCCAGGGACTTCACACGAGCTACATTCATGAGCATTTTAAATTTTTATTCAGGGCAAGAGTCTTACCAAATTGCTAAGTCACCCAAGCTAGGTTTGAGCTTGTGATCCTCCTGCCTCAGTTTCCCAGAGTGCTGGAATTACAGGCATGCACCATCACACCTGTCTGATTAGTGTTGCTGTTTGTCACGGCTCCACTGAAATGTTAGGAAGAAGACAGAGGCTTGAGGTTAAAATTAGCCCCATCCCGTGATGAAGAAATCCAATGTGTCCATAATTCCCCTGATTGGGGACATCAGTGTGGGGCAGAGGTGGCAAAGCTATGGCATGAGTGCCACTGCCAGATGCTTGCCATCCCTGAAAACTCTTAAGAGGTTCGCCATCATAGGTCTAGGGCACGGACAACTGATTCTTTTTGTTTTGTTTTGCTTTGCTTTAATTTAAAAAAAATTTTTTTTGAGGCAAGGTCTCAAGTGGGCCTGGAATTCTCTGTGTAGCTCAGGTTGGTCTCAAACTTGCCTCTGTCCTCCTGCCTCGGCCTCCCAAGTGCTGGAATGACAGCCCTCTGCAAGGACAGCTAATTCTAATTCAGCTTAGCACACACCAAGCAAAGCTTAACACCGGGGTCAGCATTCCTGGAAAAACTGCAGTTGGTCCTCCAAGGACACCCTAAACCTGTGTCTTTGTGCTCATAGGTGCTTATGTGTGGTTTTCTCAAGGGCCGTTTTATATCCTTGTTATAAAACCCAGTGAGAAACACCGGTTGCCCATAGCCCACGAAATGAGGGTATTCGTGTGGGTGCAGGCAGCTGCTGGCCTCCCTGATGTTTGTTCAGTTGCAGGTGAACACCCATCCTGGGGGCCTGGTGCCAGGCACAGGAGGCGAACTAGAGCTGATGCTGTCTGGAGGACTGGGCAGAATTCAGAGGACAGTCGGTGCGCGTCTGGACCTGTGTGTGTGTGTGAGGCCTGGCAGAGTGGCCTGAGAGCTGAGCCAAGGGCCAGCAGAAGCCACCTGGGGGACGCTTGTGCCTGGGGTCCACGTGGCCTCAGCAACGTGCGTTCCCGTCCAGCACATGCCAGGCCTCAGGAACAGCACCTGGCAGGGACAGTAATAACAGCAATCTGTCCTTTATGTCACTGTTGCCTTACAAAGCAGGGCCACATGTATCTTATTACAGCTTGTTCTAAAAAATAAATCCAAATGAATTCCTGGTGACAGAAAAGACAGATTCATCTCCTCATCTAGCACAGGCTATTTAAACTGGTGCTTTCTGTAGAGACTCACAATCAAGAAAGTTTTAAATGTTAAAATGACTTCTAACATATATTTGACTCAGTAGCTGTTTCCAAATTTAGAAATACAACAATAAAACCACATTTATTCCAGTTCCAGGCAGATTTAAACTTTGCCTAATTTTGCAAATAAGTTTCTCCCTGGAGACCAAGGGAAAGGACTTTAAATCTTCATTCCATGATCTCAGTCTGGTGCCTTTTTCCAGTTGGATGCTTACTTACACACTTCCGGTGAGTCACTGAAAATCTCTTTTAAAGGGGTCTGAGGGGTGAGATAGGCATTGAAACCCCCACAGACACCTTGCGGACCCATCGGTTGTCAGGTTTATGACCAGACAGTGGAGCTGAGGTCGTCACCAAGGTCACTTTTGCCTGACACGAGGTCTTCACAGAGGCAGAAGTTCCGCCTGTTTGATTAGGAGATCAGCCCACTCATGGAGCCAAGCAACACAAGGGGCAGCCCAGCTGGTCCAACAGAAAAGCCCCAACATCGATTTCACACCTCTTCCCCAAGTCACGGGGGTCAGGAACACAGCACGGTGAACTTTCTGTCACCGCAGGCTTCTCGAGGATCCCAGAGGAAGACATCCCACATGGAGCATCCGTGAGCTGCTGCTTTAGATTCACTCCTTCACTAACCAACCAGGAACACAGGGCCCCGAAGATGAGGCGACCTGCTGGAGTCGCCCCAGCGGGAACAAGCAGAGCCAGGCCCTGGACCTGCACCCCTGACCTCCCATCCAGTGCCATCTCAGGCTCCCGCTGCATCCCACATGCGTGCACAATGCCACACTCTGGGGCAGCTCCTGCGCCAAAGGGCCCTGTGGCCCGGGTGACATCAATCCCAGCCACCTTGCTTCACGCGGTTCCAAACTGTGATCGTCTGGAATACTTTTGACATAATTTTAAGTGTATCAAACTTCATTTTGTAACCACGCCCCCAGAAGATCTGATGTCTTCCATGCGGGCTGTGGGTGCTGGGTTAACCTGATTGATTTCTGTGCTTCATTTTTCAGGCAGGGTGGCACGGTCAGGACAAAGCCATGCATAGAGAGGGACATTTGTTTTTTCTTGCAGTTTTTTTTTTTTTTGAAGAAAAAATACTGTATGTTGTTTTCTTAGAAGTAGCTGTTCAGGTTACAAGATTTAGGCACAAAAATATGAAACAACAAAAGCACAAACTTCTTTTGGATAAACTAATGGGGATTAGCAGTATAGCTATCTATTTTGTATAGACATACATATGTATGTATACCTGTTCATATATGTATGTGTATATATACACACCTATATGCATATAACCTCTTTCAGAAAGGGACATTTCTGCTTTGGTGCCGAAGGCCAGCAGAGCTGGCAGAGTGGGGCTGCATCTGGCCCATGGCCCCTTTCCCTCTGCTTCAGCACATGTTTCCAGGCTCGTGCTGTATTACCTCAGCCATGAGCTATTTTTTTCCAAAGGAAGCTGAAATAGATTAGAAAAAAAATAGCCCAGCTTTTCGGTGTGGCCTCTCCTAGGCTTTGCGTATGCACTGTATAAATAAACCATTTGCTTTGCAGCTCGGAGAAGGGGGAGTGTAAATAGGAACCAGCTGCTTTCTCCAAGCACAGCAGAGCACCTGATCTCATCCCTGCTGGCATCACAACTCCCGCTAATCTGCAGTGTCCTGTGTGGGTGGCCGTGGGTGGCTTCCAAGCTTTGCCACACAGCAAAGTCCTCTCAGAATTGCTAAAAATAAGCAAAAAAGAACCAGAAGCCCAGTCTCCACCCCAGCCTTCCTGATCTAACCTGAATGTTGGGCCTCTGTCATGCAGGTTTGCTGTGCAGCTCAGTTGGGGACCCCACTTTGCTGGCCAGGTTGGTGACCAACAGCCACTAAACTCCCTGGATTCTAAAGGGGGGTTGGAAGGCTGCACCCATTGGATGCCGCATGGTTTCTGGTATCCTTCTGGCACCTTGCCTGAGTCTCCATGAGCAGAACTGTGGCGATCAGAGGACACGCACCCTGGCGCTTTCAGGTGTCTCTGACGAATGAGGTGTGATGGAGAAATATGGTGAATGGCACTTGAACCTGAGGCCTTGGGGAGGAGCCAGTGTTCCCACAATGCCAGAGCTGCTGAATAAGGCAGTGGGGACACGGTGTCACTCTTCTTTCTGACTGGCCCTCCTGAAGATGCTCATAAAAGGAGAGTTATTCGGTAAATATCTGTCTAGGCTCCCTGTGAGCAGCTTCGTTTTAGGCCTGAGGGTGCCCTGGCTATTCTGGGGAGGAAGGCAGCAAACAAACAGCAAACAGCAAATCCAGATGAATGGCGATGCCAGTCTCCGAGTGGGCTGTGCTGCGTCCCAGGTCAGCCAGGGACAGTACCCTTCCCTGTCTGCTGTCTTTAAGAACAGACCAGGGGGCCGGAACTGTCTCCACTGAGGCAATCCACGCCCCTGGGGTGGAAGACTGGGGTCACTCTTGTTGTCCAGTTGATCTTTTATCGAGGAAGCTTCTATCGGCTCTGGAGGACACAGACCTGGCAGTGAGGCCAGGGCAGTAAGAGCCCTGGAAGAAAAACGCGCAGAAGTTGGGCAAGTGTGGCAGTGGGACCTGAGCACCAGTGACCCGCAGGGCAGCGTCTTCACTCCCAGGCTGGACTCAGAGGGATCCAAAGGTGAGCCTGGCTCTGCCAGCGCCATCCTCGCTCTGCGCCTCCATTTTGCCTTCTGTAAGGTGGGGGTGGTGATGGCACTGCCGGGGGGTTGCTGTGAAGAATAAACGAGAGAATGCACTTCGAGCTAAAGGCACTGTCCCTGTGCAGCATGAGCAGGTGGCACAGGAGGCTGGAGGGGGAAAGGCGCCCCCATGAGGCCTGGAGACTGCAGGGCCCAAGGAACCCTAGAGTGGGGAGCTTGAGGGGCCAGGTCTCAGAGGGCCTTTTCAGTGCTCCTGTTGGAACAGAGAGAGACTACCTGGTCTATTTTTACTTTTAGTTTTATTTTTATCTTGGTTTTTTGAGTCAGGGTCTCACTACGTAGCTCAGGCTGGCCATAAACTCACAGCCATCTTCTCCTGCCTCAGCCTCCGGAATGCTGGGATTCCAAGCATGCTCAGTCATACCTGGCTTCCCCGTTTGTTTTTCACTTCTGTAAGTCAGAGTTTTGCTGGGCAGCCTGGGTTGGCCTTGGATTCCACACCTAAGTCTCTTGACCCATGAACTTTGCACAGCTGGTTGAGAGGACAGCAGACATCTCAGCAGAGGACGAGACAAGCACTGAGCCCGTCTGCAGACTGCGATTCTTTCTGGGTGTCAGAGGCTTAGATGGGCCCCGACTCCAGCCCCGGCTTCTCTTTCTACACTGCAGACTCCTCGCCTAGAAGCCAGTGAGATCCAGTCACGGCTACCGCCACATGGAGGTGTCCCGAGCCTCAGAGAGCAGGTTCTGCCTGGCAGCCGGATCAGAACCAACTCAGAGCACACCCTCTGGGCCTGGTGCCGCCTCCTCCAAGGATGTCACACTCCCCACCAGGACCAGGCAGAGACCTGGGGAGACACCAAGCTGTGCATCAGCACTGGGCAGAGATGTGGCATATTGGACCCCACTCCATCCTTGATTTGAGGCTGCTCCTTGGTTTGGAAGAACTGTCCCCTAATCCAAAGTGACCCAGTGCCACAAAGCCAAGCAAACCAAAACCCACACCACATTCAATGGTGTGTGGGCAGGATGCTCCCTGGCACCAGCCTTGCTCACGCTGGCACCCACAGCACGCACGTGTATGCACACACACTCCCCAGCCACACTCCATGCCATGACGTCCATGCAGCCCACGCTTGCAGTTCTGAGTCAGTGGGGCTCAGAAATGATGCTGGGGTACCTTGAGAGCACGCGTTTGATGTGATTCTCTTCTTTTCCAGGGAAGACGGAAGCCTACTTGGAAGCCATTAGGAAAAATATTGAATGGCTGAAGAAACATGACAAAAAGGGAAACAAAGATGGTAAGGACTAGGGCTGAGGCGGGGGCGCCTTGCCATCTCCCCTGGTTCTATGGGGAAACTGAAGGGCTGAAGGCCCCCCACAGGGCCCGGGGCATCCGCTGCCTTTCAGGTGTGGAGGCGGAAAAACTCCTCTCTCCCGCTACCCGCAGCTGCCTTCCAAGGCACAGCTTTTATTCCATGGTGCTGCAAAGCAGGGTAGAAGCAGGGCGGAGAGTGGAGCACGTCTCCCTGCATCCGTTCCTGTCCTGCGTCCACAGTGATCAGCCTCTGCCGGCCGTGTGCGTCTACACCCTCCCCGCTTCCTGGCATCTCTTAAGCACAGGAATCTTCTGGGCACCTGCTGGGTGTCCACAGCCACCAGGAAAGCAGCTGGGACAGAGCAGCACACACAGCCACCTCTGATTGCCAGAGCAGTACAAGGTCTGCCCGTGTGTGGGTGACGGTGGTTGCCCTGGCCTAGGGCAGTCATGGGTGGGTGCAGAGTACCAGAGAGGCCAGGAGACAGGGCAGGGCCTCTGCCAGGACAGAGACAGGTTGGGAGAGGGTCACAGAGATCGGAAGAGCCTGTGAGTGAGGAGAGATGGGAAAGAAGGAAGCCCAGGTACCAAGGTGTGAAGGACAGTGGAGTACATGCATTCTGGACAGCTGCAGACAGGAATGCAGCTGGACTTGGGAGTGGGCAGTGCTAGGCCAGGAAGGGTGGCGGGGCCAGCGGAGCCTAAATCAGAACCTCTCAAGGCTAAGGAAGGGATCCATCCAGCTACAGTGAGGTTGCAGACTGAAAAAGTCCAGGAAGGCAGGAGGGAGGTGAGGAGGCCAGGGTCTGAAGCAGACTCGAGTGGCCTCTCTGCACTGGCCCCAGGGACGCTGCCTCGGGTCCACCTCAGGCCCAGTGTGGCTGAGGTCCTCCCAGCTCCGTCCTCCTCGCCCCTGGGGTATTCATGATGTGCAGGGACTGGGTTCTGGTGACAGTGAGCTGGCTGGGAGTGACTGAGGACCTCTGTGCTTTCCTCTGTCCCTCCTCTCTGTCCCCGGCACAGCCTGGCAGACGGCAGGATTCTCGGGACTCGTGATTGTAATCACCCAACCCTTAATCAAGGCAAAGCATAGCGATCTTCAGGTCTCTGAAAGATACCACGTGCAGTTGTCTTACTTGGGGAATCTACTTCTGGTTGGAAGTTTGTTGGTTTCCCTCACACAGACTTGAAGTAGGACAAAGGTTATGATTTGGCTATTTTATTTTATGTTTTTGAGATAGGCTTCTATCAGATAGTAAAGAGACTGGCCTCAAACTCCCTGTGTAGCCCAGGCTGGTCTTGAACTTGGGATCCTCTCACCTCAGCCTCCCAGGTGACTTTGTTAAACAAAACGCTGATGACTGTGATAGGCTTGGTCCTTCGCACGTGTGCTCATGATGCTCTGATGATGGTATCTTCCAGATTATGACCTTTCCAAGATGAGAGACTTCATCACCCAGCAGGCTGATGCATACGTGGCCAAGGGCATCCTGGATAAGGAGGAAGCCAGCACCATCAAGCGCATCTACAGTAGCCTGTGATGCCGGGGGACCCCGGAGATCTTCGTGGAGCCCGAGACACCCCTAGCAGATGTTCTCTGACCCAAGGGTATTAGAAAGCGCTGAATTCACAGTAGTTAACCTCTTAGGAGTGGATAAAACATAGCTTCTTTGCCATTAAAAACTACCTGAAAAGTAAAGCTGTCTGCAGGCTGAGACTGCACCTAGAGTCCTCCTTTCCACCTGTTCCTGTGTTTCCCAGAGATGCTGCTGTGGGAGATGCTCCTGGGCTGAGCCCACACCAACCCTTCTTTCCTGGCAGTCAGGCCAGGCCAGTGGGCAGGGCACTGTTGGACCAGCCCTGTTACAAGGCCTTGTTTCTGCCCACAGTTCCCAGTCGATTCAGTCAAATTCCTATGTTCTCAAAGCCTTGTGCCTTGAACGGCATTTCCTTTATAGCTTCTTCAGCTGCTCTTTTTAGCTGGCTCTTTCTCTGGCCCAGTGGCACCCTTAGAAACCTGAAACTGGCATAAGGTTTCCTGGATTTATTAACAATTCACCCCACCCATAGCACTTCCTGTTGGTGAGTTTGCAGACATCGGGCTGGGGGATAAAGAGGGATATTTATATCTACTGGCAGACGGGCAGGCGTAGTCATAAATAGTACAAAAGCAGAGGAGAATTTCATACGCATCTCACATATCTCAGGTGGACCTGTCTAAGCCAGGTACCTCTGCAGAGAGCCAGGGACCCGGGTGCACGCGGGGTAGAAACAGCTGAGACTCCTTCTGCTGCCTGTGAGCTGAGCTGGGGGTACTCTGGAAGGCAGGTTAGTGAACCCAAATCCCCAGAGTCCATCCGCAGCTACCACTGCAAATCCCAGGAAGCAACTGGACAGGTCCTCCTCGGATGTCAAAGGCTGTTGTCCCCAAGCTTAAGAAGCCTCCAGCGATGTCTCAATCAGTATAGAGTACCGGCATGTTTCTCTAGACATCTGCCTAAAGTCACAAAAACAGCATAATGCTTTTTGTAGCCATCTTTTTGTTTCTACTTCAGATGACTTCTGATGCCTGCAGTGCTATCCCAGAGGCTCAGAGCCCACAGACACAAGAGGATCCTGGGGTGATCTAGAGTAGCTAGGCCCCCAGGGGGCTGGGGCATGGGGACCAGAAACACCTTGCGCACAGTGTGAGGCCCCCGGGATGGTGACCAGACCACTGTCACTGAGCCCCTGCATAGGAAGGGGTACTCAGCTTCCACATCAGGCAACAGACTGGCTCCGAATAAAACATTTCCTCCCATACTTTCTAAGCTGTAAGCATCTGTGCAGGATTTTTTAAAACGAGGAAAGCATTCCAGGGTTTATTGTCATTTTCAGAGCACACAGCCCTCTGTCAGCTCCTACTGAGGGCCAGTCACGGGGACTTAGAGATGAAGAAATCAGCTTGCAAAGGCACAAGGGCACAGGTTATGCCCAGGCCGAGGCAGGCCACAGGCTCTGCCCCTCCATAGTGATTACCATAGGGCGGAGCCCGCAGAACCCTCCTCTTCCTGGTAGGTCCCCTCAGCCACAGGAGAGAACTCAGTGAGAGAGGCTTGGCTGGAAAATGCTGAGAGGAGCATGAATACGACTCAGAAAATGTTTCTGAGATCATAGCCTTAATTTCTAATTTGAGCTCATAGTCCATCCTTTGGGCATCGGTGTCTGGATTACTCTGGAAGTTCAAGCCACTTTACTTGAACAGCATAATTTTGAGTTTGGGAGTGTTTTGTTAAAGTAAACTGAGGCACAGTTCAGAACATGGAGACAGGCAGTTAACGGATGAAGATTTTATTGCAGACAAGGTGTGACCAGGCCAGGAGTGAAAAGATCATTGCTCTTGATTAAGGGGCGAGCCTGAGCCTGTGTTTTATAGGGGAGCTTAGGTACGGGGTAGGGGGCACTGCTGAGGGGGTGCAGATTTTGGGTCTCTGAGTGGGGGGGGTAGGGCCAGCTGACAGGGTCGGGTTAGGTGTGGGGTGGGGTGCTGGCAGGCACAGCGTGAGTCTTGCTGGTTTTCTGAGTTTTCATGGTTTTCTTCAGGTTGAGCTGTTGGGGAAGCTGCTGGCTTCCTGTTGAGCACCGAACTCCGCAGGTGTGAATTACACCTGCTTAGAGTTTCTCACCTATCTGGGTGGGGGTCTAATTCAGAGACCTGACAATTTTGATGTTTTTTGGTTTTGTTTTCTTTTTAGATAGGAGCTCATCATGTATTTCAGACTGGCCTTGAATTCACAATTTTCCTGCCTCAGCCTACCAAGTGCTGGGATCAGGGCGTGTCCGTCCTTGCCTGGTTATGCTGAATAGCATGACAACTTTACATTGCTGGATCTTTTCTTGCAAGCACAACTGTTTCCCTTCCTTTCTTATTTTCATTTTCTCCTCATCCAGTGAACTCAGATCAGATGGTTACAGCAAAGCATGCCTAAGATGCAGGGATAACATGAGGAGGAGACACCAGGCACCCAGGTTCTGTATGTCATTAGGAATGAACAAGAGGACGAGCCGAGGGCAGGTGCCAGTGCAGCCCCAGTGCACCTAATGTCCACTTCCTGGGGCAACATGTGCAGTCCTGCCTTGGCTGCCGCATTTCATGTTTAACGGAAGATTAAGGAGCAAGATGGGGAGGAGGAAAAATGACAGGGATGAGAGAAAAGGGCCAGTGGACACCAGAAGCAGAGGTCTCACCTGCCCCCAGAATCGCAGGCCTTCGGGGAGGATAAATGAGAAATTGTTGCAGATGCCTACCGCTCCATCTGGCCTCATGGAAGTCAGTATTAGAAACATACTTCCTGGTTTACTGCATGCAGCTCACTGCGTAACTGTTTTCCCACTGGATAAAGGTTTGCTACTGTTCCAACCTTCCCAACCTCCTATCACACGTTTTGTTCTCAACCCCAGGCTCAGGCTGTGCACCCATCAGCCCACTCTTCCCATGCTGTGAAGAGAGAGAGATGTTGCCAGGAGCCATGATCAATTTGCTTTCAGATTACTGAAATTTCTTTTTGCCTCTCAAAACTGAATTTGCGGGGGCTGGGGATTTAGCTCAGTGGCATAAGCACCTGCCTTGCAAGCAGGTAGTCGTGAGTTCAATCCCCGGTACCGATAAAAATGATAAAGACAAAAAAAAAAACTGAATTTGCAATAAAAAGACCACTAAAGTGTAGGAGAACCTGCCACTGATTCAAAAACACAATTAAAAAATCAATTTTATTTCCCCCTTTTGTCGACAAGCAGACTCAAATATGAAAACATAGTTTATTTTCTCATTCAGACTCTCATAGTTAAGTTTTACAAAATAGCAGACAAAAATTTGACTCTTTCCATTGATGGAACATGTAACACACACTGAAATATAATACCTAAATAGCATTTGTTATAAACACACAGCAATGCAGCATTCCTTCACCAGCCACCAGGGTTTTCACAAAATCTGAGTTTTGTGAGGAGACAAACATTGTCTTCGGTGTATATGTGTAACCTCTTGGGACCAAACCCACCAGCAAGTATAAAAGCCAGGCTGAAAACTGCCAACAGCTAGAGAAGGGATGGGCGTTAGGGTGCACAGTCGATACCATGCCATGACAAGGCTGGAAATCGCAGGAAGCTGGGAAGGAGGTGGCAGGTGCAGCCTGCTGGGCTGCGGGATCCCAGTTCTCCCCGAGTCTGTCCCGATGAATTAGGATCTGATGTCTCCTGGCATCCGGCCGCCTAACTGTGATAGAGAGAAGCTGCATAGGGACTTTCTTTCTCCCTGCAAAATGGAAGTCCAGCGTGGATCAGAGGTCAGTACTGTACTCAGAAAAACAGGTACACATCATTCACCTCAGTATCTGCTTGCCAAGGGTGTACCGTATGTCTCCACCCTACTGGCTTCTCAGGGACCGGAGTAAATGAAGCTAATTGCTTATATGCTATTTAAGTATATATTCTATTTATACTTAGTTATATTCATGTTTATGTTTCCTGTATTCTACCTCTGTCTCATGGAGATTTAAGGTACATATAACAAAGTGCATACAAATAACAGAAATAAAAAATCAGAACTAAGGAAAGGAAAAGGAAATCAACATGCTAACCACAGGAATGATAAATAATGAAATCTGAGGATCCATTGTAGTTACAAGGTTCCCAGTAGCTTGTAACTAGCCCAGTAGTATTTCCCGGGGAGAAAAGGGAAATACAGCAGGATATACCCTCAAGAAATCATAAAGGAAGAAGTAACCTAGTGTATGAGAAAGAAAAGCTTTTACCCTAGTACTAAAAAAAAACATAGTTCACAAGAAACTTTATGAGGAAAACCCCGGTAACAAGCAGTGGGGAACATCTGACAGATTTTACAAAGGGCATTGGCCTGCGAGTCTCCTTTTGGGCAGGGCGTCAGTGGACGATGTCAGGCCACCATCCAGATTGCTGGCTGGACAGGGCTGCTATGAAAGCACAGGAGCTGACCTTTTATACCAGATATCAGAGACGACAGCACTGGGCTAGCACACAGCCTGAGATTCTCTAAGTTAAAAACTGTCATCAGGAAAAAAGTGTGGTGGCACTTGGGAGGCTGAAGCAGGGGGATCATCATGAGTTAGAGGCCAGCATGGGCTACAGAGTGAGCTCAAGCCCAACCTGGGCTGCACAGCAAGACCCTACCTCAAAAAAAAAAAACCTTTTATTTTGGTTCCTGTCAGAGCCACCTGAGGCAGCTGCTGGCAGTGGTACCAGGGCGCTTTTACCTGGGCTCCCGCTTCAGCCTCTGGGCTGCCTGCGTGGACAGCTTGATCTGCAGGTCTAGCCTGTCCAGGAAGTCCCTGGCCGACACCTCCTCCGGCCGAGGGGCTGATTCCTGGGGACTGGGAGGAGGGAACTCATCCTCTGCCATCCCCAGTTGCTCTCCAGGAGGAAAACTGCTGTCCTCAGCTTCGTTTTCTGGAGAATCCGGCGAGTTCAGTCCATTGAACAACAAAGGCTTCTCTGATACAACTGGGATGTTCAAGGTTTTCTTCAGGAATATGCAGTCGCTGGTGAACAGTTTATTGGCCCTTTTAATCTGCTCCATCTGAAATGTCACAAAGGAGGCAGAGTGACTATAACCAAATCCCATTACACAGCACAAAAGTGCACTCGAACCAGCATGAGCCAGGAGACCCTCATCACATTTGGCCACCTCGAAAAAATGTCGAGAGATGTCCGGAAATTCTGTTTCTTGATTGCAAAAAAGGAAAGACTCAGCCCCTGTCCCAACACACACGCACACACTCTCTCTCTTTCTCTCTCTCTCTTTCTCTCTCTCTCTGTGATTTCTCCCCTATCAGACGGCTTTTGACAGCAGTGGTCCTAGGTGGTTAAAGGTTCAGGAGTCTTAGCACTTATTTAATGAACCCCACCTGCAGAGTCTGATCGCATGGTCCCTGTTGCTGCTATTTTGCTTGGGGAGGGCGTCCATGTCTGCAGGACCCGGCCTGGGGCTGGAGAGAGCAGGAGGCTGCAGAGATGGGAGTACAAGCAGCATTCAGAGTGTCGTAGGATGCTGAGGAGGTGGGGTTCTGAGTTCGAATGTGATGATATGGATGAGTCCCCTAGAACTGGTAGCAGTGACAGGGATAGGTGTGGGACGGAGTCAGGGCCTCTCCCTAGGAGTCTCTCAGGCCCCTGTGCAGGGCGTGAGACCTGCTTTCCAAATAAATGCCACAATGACCCCTGTCCCTACTGTGGGGTCATCATGGAACCCAGGGTTTCTAACCCCAGCCTTTTACGCCCCCATGCTCAGGGATGGGGAGGGGTGGAATTTATCGAGGTTATCTCGCCCTACCCTCAGGGCAGCTCTGTAATTGAGTCATTATCATCTCCTTCCCACTGCGGGGCCCCTTCCGTGGGCCCACACAGGCTTGGCTGTGAGCTCCTGCAGGACTGTCCACACTGGCACGTGCCACCCCGTGTTCTACCGTGTTTGCAGATGCTGCCGGCAACCCTGGGAAATTCTGTCTAGCCCATACCAGCTCCCATGGAGCCTCACCTTACCTTTCCAGGGCTGTCACAAAGATAAATGAGTTCATGTGCATGAGTGGAGGAAGCACACGGGTGTATACACACAGAGCACACGGCAAATACCATCCACTGTTGGGTTTCTGCTATCTACTTCTTCAGCCATCCCTCTGTTCGTTAATCCATCAGTCCATCAACCTATCCATTTATTCTCTCCATCCATCCATCCATTCATCCATCCATCCATTACTCCATTTATCTCTTCATCTATCCATCCATCCATCCATATTTTTTTTTTTTTGGTACCAAGAGTGGAACTCAGGACTTTACAGTTGTCAAGCAGGCACTGTGCCATTGAGCTATATCTCCGGCCCATCTAGCCATATATCCATCAATCCAATCATCCATCTATTCATGCATCCATCTACCCAGTATTCCACCCACCCATCCTGCATCCAATCATCCATCCATCCTGCATCCATCCATGTTGCTCTATCTCCGTGTTTACCCCAAGGCCTAACTGGAAAGTAACTTGCTCAGTGGCTACTCTGTAATGGCAGGGAAGTCGGGGCAAGCTGATTGCGACTGGCATTTTTTATCTCCAGTTAAGACTTATTTTCGGGGAAACACGGGGTTGATGGCACTTTCTCCATTTTGCAATGAAGAGACGCAGGCTCACACGGCAAGACTGATTTGAAGCATGCACAGGGCTCCGCGTTTGCACTGGGAGTCCACCTGGCTCTAGAGTCCACGCACCATCTAGATTAAAGGGCATGATTCATGGAGTCAGGTTCTGGGGCCTCTAATGCTAAACTGACTCTGAGAAAAGAAACAAAAACAACTTCTGTTTCTGCTTCAACACCTGCCTGATGAACACCTCTTCCTTCTGCCTTCCGGTCTGACTGAATCCACCAACATTCGGGAGAGGGGCTGGGCCTCTGCGTTCAGGTTCTAGTTTCAGGAGGTGAGAAGGAGAGACCATGCCCGTGGGTGGGTGCATTTGAGGAGCAAAACAAAAATCTAAAAGTCCCAGAGTGCCCGCGGCCCTGCCTGAACTCAGGCCGCGTGCAGAAGCCCGTAGTGCGGTGGCTCTGCCTTCGGTGACCGCATCTCGGGCACCTTTGAGTGCGGCGCAGGGCTTCAGTAGAGGCGACTCCTCCTGCGCATAAACAGCCCGTGCCGCCTCCTTCCGCGCAGTCACAGCCTCACCTCGCACGGTCCCTGTGTCTGTCTGTATGTCTGTCTCCTTGCTTTCACACCTCTCCTGCTGGAAGGAGGTGGGCTGGAGCTGCTGCCCGTCACCCTGCCCCACTGGAGCCTGGTTCCGAGCCATGGGGACGGCACCTGGACCTCCAGCCCAGCTGGACGCCAGAACCTTCGCAAACTTTTCCGCTCCTTTTCCAGTTGACTTTTTTTGTTTTTTGGCTTTTGCTGAAGCCAATTTGCATTAGATTTCCTATCCCTTGCCACTGAAGGAGCCCTCGCTGATACAGCGCTCTTGGAAATGTTCAAGGAAGGGGCCCGCAATCGCTAGCAGTCATGGCTTTCTGAGAACAGAAACCAGTGGGAAGAACTCACCATGACTCCCTTCAGGGTGAGAACTATTCCCTCCACAGCCTCCCTGGAGCGGCAAAAGTCTTTTCACACTGAGTTTTTTTAAATGGACAGATAGGGTGTGTTAGTGCATGCCTACAACCCCAGCACTCAGGAGACTGAGGCAGGGCGGATTTCCACAAACTTGAGGCCAGCCTGGCGTACATAGTGAGACCCTGTCTCAAAAAACTGAAAGAAAAATAAAACAGATAGATGGACAGGTGGATGGGTGGATGGACTGATGGATGAATGGACCGAGGAATGCATGGATAGATGACTAAACGATGGATGTATGGATGGATAGATGGGCAGATGGACAGATGGATGGACAGATGAATGGATGAATGGATGGATGGATGGATGGATGGGCAGATGGATGGATGACTTAATACAGATCAGAGGAGCAGGCATCAAGATGAACCCAGGGAAGGACCCAGAACTGGGGAGCAAGTTACCTGCTATGCTTTGCTCTCCTTCTAACCCCCGCCCTCCTGTTCTGAAAGCCCAAGGAGGCCCATGCTTGAGAAGTGCATTTCCTGAGCCCCAGCTGGTACTGGAGGCCAGCACACAACTCCGGGAACCACGCCCCCACCAGCCAGCCTAGTCCAAGGTGCCATCTCTCACAGCTCCCCTCAGCCTGCAGCCACTGGCCTCACAAATGCCACAGGCCTTGCTTCCTCCCTGCACCCCGCCCACACTGTACCGTCCCTCCATCCAGTCCTGCGGCCACGGCCATGGAGCAGGCCATGTGTGTCCTGCTGCACTCAACCCACGTGCCTGCCATGCAGAGTGAGGAGGCCACCAAGGGTGGCGACCCTAAGCACTGACTGGAGAGGAGCAGACACTGTCTGCAGGCAGGGAGGCCCCAGGCAGGAAGCCGGGGCTCAAGGCCCAGCAGGTGCTCAGTGCCCACCACACAAGGCTCTCCGAACTCAGGGGCCACGCTGCCCCAGCACCTGTAAGGCCCCTGCAGCCCTAACTCTTGGACGGTGAACAGGAGGCCGGGGTTAAAGACTCGGGGCACCTGGAATAGCAGGCTCAGAGGTGGGGCCACCTAAGGACAGGAGTTATTGGGGGGGCAACACAGGGCCACGTTTCCTGAGTCCACGTTCTGGCTTCATTACTTCCTAACCACTTTCCACGTTCATTTTCTGATCTGTAAAGTAATGATTCCCACACAGCACGGCCGTGGTGGGGATTAAGTCAGTTAATTCATATAAAATAGGAAAGCAATATGAGGCACACACTATAATCCCTCCCGTGGGAGGCTGAAGCAGGAGAGTCATACATTTGATGAGTATCTGGGAACTTTAGTGAGAATTTGACCCAAAATGAAGAGAACAATAACAGGCTGGGGGCTGCTTAGGGCAAAGGCCCTAAGTTCAATTCCCGGTACCCAAAAGAAGACAAACTTAGCAACTATTATCATTACACTAGGTTCAAGGTAAGAAAGCAGTGGTAAAATCAATTCTTAATATATTTGGAGAAAGTTGAGACACAAATTCTTCTTTATCTGCCCCAGAATAAGACTATATGAAGAAAATTTCATATAAACAAGCCCAGATGAATAACATGCGATCACCAACGAAACTTTTTTAAAACAATGAATTTGATGTTAACTTGCTCCTTGCAAGTGGGAGGCCCAGGGCAAGCACACAGGCTGCAAACCCTGTCGCCCAGGTGAGGCCCAGGTGCCGGGCAGCTATGCCAGGAAAACCCAAAAGCCATCGAGGCTGCCGGGGGCAGTCACACCTGCCTTCGGCACAGGTTTCCTATCAGCTGGTCCTGAGAACAGCGGCTGTGACCCTCCAGGTGACACAGACCCTTTCCTGTCTCTGGGGAGGGAGGGACAAAAACCAAATGGTTTCGTATGCCGGTCCCTCCTAATCGCATGACTCAGTGAAATGTAAACCTCCTGGCACCAGGAAACAGGTCACAGCACAAGGGAGGTCAGGTGGACTGAGGGGCCCCCCAGGTCAAACGTGGAGAGAAAGGGACCACAAGCACCACCACCAACTCACAGGAAGTCTCCACAACTTTCCTATGAGCAGACTTTGTAAGGTGGATTTGCTTTGCAGGAAATTCACAAAACGGCTGCAAAGAGGGGCGTGCACAGCAGAGAGACAAGAGCGTATCCCAGGGAAGCCTGGTCCCCAGCCATTGTCCCCTGCCCCGCAGTGACCAAACACTTGAAGTGGCTTATTCTCCATCCTTCGAGAGAGATGAGCTTTCACAGGAGGCACAACAGCTAATGTTCACATGGCACCCTGTGGCTTGTGGAGGACTTTATCTCCACGGTCACTCATCCTGGGTCTTTCACAGAACACAGACTTACACAGGCCCCAGCATCTCTGCAGGGTGAGGAACTTTCTAGAACTGAACTGTGGTCATGGTTGTGCAACTCTGTAAACTTACCAAAAATCACGGAATTGTACACTTTTTTGACTTGAGGGTCTGTTGGTTTGTTTTTGAGACAAGATCTTGCTACATAGTTCAGGCTGGCCTTGAACTCACCACGCAGCCCAGGCTGGCCTCAAACTCACGGTGCTTCTCCTGCCCCAGCCTCTCAAATGCTGGGATTGAATTATACACTGAAGACGGGGAGTCCATTTGCCCCAGCTTATCCCCTTGAGAGAATCTTCACAAAAGAGCCCTTGTATCATAATGGCACAGGCACATCCATGTCTGTGGCAGCACCCTCTGGAAGCAGCCTGTATGTTCACCAAGAGATGATGGATAAAGGTGCTATTTACAGACAACGGAACACTACTCAGCCAAAAAGGAGGATACCCTTGTCATCCAAAGGAAAATGGGTGCAATCAGGGCCCACAATGGTGGAATGAACCAGTCACACCTTAAATATCGCCTGGTTTTTCTCATGTGAGGAACTAGAAGTATAAATAATTAAAGAGCCAAGTAAAGATGAATAATAGAAAACAGGGAGATGGATCTTTTGCAGACGGGAAGGGGCCGAGAGAGTAGGAACAGGAGAACAGGGAAGTGGAGGAGAAGGACACAGAGGCAGCAGGAGGAACTGCAAACAGATGCTAATGCAAATTCTTTCTAGGAGAGGGGACTTTGTAATGAAACCTCCATAAATCTGTGATTTATAAAAGGGCTACGTGAGGATCCATTACAGGCCCAAGGGACGGGGCCTCGGGTCCCTCTCCCAACAGTGGGTGGCCCTGTGAGCAGGGGCTGAAGTTCTGAACTACAGAGTCCTGAAGCCTCTGACACCCGGGGTGAATCCCCTCAACGCAATTGTCTGGTTCTCAGACTTCTGTGTGGGGAACACCTGAAGCAGGAGCCCAGTTCAGCAGCTTCGTGGAAGAAGAGAAAGACTACAGCCCCACAACAGAACCCACAGGAGGTCCCCGGGGGAGGGGCCTAGGGAGCAGAGAAGGGCCCAGCAGGCTGTCAGGGTCACCTAAGGACAAACAGAAAGGTGGAACAAACACCAAGTTCCCGCAGCTTTCAGTTTCTGTTCTGGTCTCTGCGGTTCTTCCAGGTTTCCAAACCCAAGGCCAGGGAGTAGAGCAGACCCCAGGGGAGGAGCCAGGGCCCAGAAAAGCCTAGCGAAGTCCAGACCCTGGGTCACAGAGGGGCCTCAGTGGGGACAAAGGACCGGGAGTTCCCTGCCCAGCAGGCGCCTGTTGGAGGTGGGCCAGATGTGAGGCTTCCTCAACCTGGGCCAGTTTCGTTTCCCAGAGCCACCTCCACCCAAGACCAAGCCTGTGTGTGATGTGGGCGGGGAGGGGGGAAGCCTGGGGTGGGGCCACCTGGGAAGGCGGCAAGGAAGGCAGCCCCCTCCAGCCTGCAGAACGGGCCTCCAGGGGCATTTGCAGCTTGCCGTGCCTCCTCCCCAGCCCTGACATACCGGTCCACTCCTCCAGGGCCTGGATGTCGCAGGGTCACTGTCCCGTGGTGCCAAGGCTGGGCTCAGCATACACAGAGCTTGCAGGCAAAGGCACAGTGACTCCAGAGACATCGACAACAGGGATCACCTTGTCACCCAGCATTCAGCAGGGACCTGGAGCAAAGCAGGTCCCAGCGACTGAAGGGCAGTGGCCAGGAGAGGTCATAAGGACATTTTCTAAGCCACTGCTCGGGGGTGGAGGTCCCTCCTTGTGCTTGTCCCCTCTCAACCTCCACAAGCTTTGCAGAATCCAGCTTCTCGCCACTGCCTCCCTGCCCACGCCATGGCCCAGCCACAGTCCTCTCCCTAACACTGTGGAGAAGTCCTTCAGCAACACACCCCTTCTCAGCACAGCAGCCTCAGTGACCAGGCTGCTTTCTAGGCCCAGCCCCTGTCCCCAGCCAGTCCAATTCCATAGAGAAAGCCTCATGCCTACACAGCTTCCAAGGCCCTAAGTCACCTGGCCCAACCCTTCCCCACCACACCTGAAGCACCAGCCACACCATTCCTGAAAGCTGGCAATCCTGCTGCTACCCCAGGGCGTTTGTATGTCTGCTCTTCCCCCTGCCAGCGCATTCTTCAGCTGGTTCCTGTATGGCTCTGCCCCTCCCTCCCCTGGCTGTGCCCTGCTCAGCTGCTGGTCCTGGCCTTCTATTGCCTCCTTGATTTCTCCCTGTTTTGCTTACTGATGCCTGACATGTCACATACTTGTTTCCTTACTGTCTCCACCAACTAAAACAGACACTCCGGAAGACATGAGTTTTTATGTATTCGCTAATGTGTGGCTGGAAAGGAAGGGCTGGGGAGAAGCAGGTGGCTGAGAAGCCCCTCCGGAACCAGTGCAGGGCAGGCAGCGTGTTGGTGAGGACCAGGCTTAAGTGGCCATCAGGAAGTAAAGATCTGTGGTGTGTGGAAGGGCAGCCATGCTCACAGCCCAGCTACATCACTTGCCTGGGGCCCAGAAAAAACGCAGGACCTGCTGACAAATTCTAAGTGCCCTAGGATGTCACAGCTGAGCATCAAGCGAGCCCCAGCCCCACCTGAGCCCAGGGCCCTGGGCACAACTGCACAGCCAGGCTATGCCAAACACCGGGACAGAAGTCCAGAGGCCCTGAGGTACAACAGTGCTTTGGGAACAGACTCATCGCCTGGCAACCAGGTCCCCTAGGTGGCCTCCTCATTCTGCATTCCCGGAAAGGACAGCCCCATCACCAGAGTCTCCAGGGAAGGGTGAGGTCCTGCCTGGACGTCCAGCTGCTCCCCCAAGCCAGGACACAGAGCCGCTCCACTGGCCTGCAGACACCTACAGGCCTGGGCCCTCTTGGTCACAGAGCCCTCAATACCTCACCCCGACTCTGCTACGCAGCAGCTGAGGTCCGCCACAGAGGACCGAGCAGTGAACCCTGGAAACCTAAACTCATTCGCCTTCTCTCTGTTCAGTGCGGAGAAGAAAAACGCCTTTCCACCTTTCCAGCCTCCACCACAGTCTCATTTACCACAACTGATCCAGTCAAGGCCTGCAGACATTAACATCACCTCAGTGCTGAGCTATGCTATCACCAGTGATCCCATTCACCGGTCCCAAATAACTGGCAGAAGAGGCCCCCAAAACGTCATCAACTGTAGTTCAGGGCCCAAAGAAATACAAATAATATAAATAAAACAGTGACATCACATATCATTTTTAGTACAAAAATAAAACAGTAGATCTTAACTGTGGGTGAGTTTTCTTCCAAAGACACTTGTGGCAGTGTCTGGACGGGGCAGGAAGAGGCCAGAGAGTCTGGCAGATATCCTACAATGCTCTGCTCATCCTCCCTGACCACAGGGTTACCCCAGCCCCGATATCAGTAGGACCAGTTGAGAAACTGGAATAGTCTACCTGCTACTGTAAATTGGGGTTTCCAGTTCATGAAACCTAAGCCAAATATCCTCAAGTGAGGAGTGTTTGTTTATTTTGGGACAGGAATCCAGCCAGCCTTGAGCTCACTACCCTCCTGCCTCAGCCTCCTGTATCCCAGGATTACAGACAGGCTTCTGTCACCATACCCAGCTAACAGTCTTTATAAAAGCAACAAAAAATCTGACTTGTACTTGAATAGAAAAAGTACAGTGTGATTAAGTAGTAACAGTAGTACTGGACAAAACCTGAAGTGGTGCAGGACTGTGGCCAGCAGGTACTTAGGAGGCCGCTGGGTCACAGAGTGACCACTGTGAGAACAAGCAGAGGCAATGGTCCTCTGGTGGACTCCTTTGGGTGGCACCCCATGGCCAGCAGGTGAAGTGCTCTGAGGAAGTCACTGCGCCCCAGGGACCGGACTAGTAGGGCTCCCCTGGGTGCTACAGGACGCGGGTCCGTCGCTCAGCTGGTCCTGCACCCCTGAGCACAGGGCTCCCACCAGGGACGCACCTGGAGACGCCCTTCTCACGGGCTCCTCGAGCCGCCAGGGGGCGGGTTCACCTCTCCTCCACCCACCCTGAAGGTCAAGCGACAGAAGACCCTCGCGCAGGGGCCCCCGCGCGAGGGCGCCGTCACGCGTGGTGTCCACGAGCCCCGGGGCGTCCCCAGCACCCCAGCCTCCTCACTCATGGCTAATGACCCGGCCTGCGGGCGGCTGAGGCGCTGCGGGACACCTGCAGGTCACCTGTCACCGGCCGGAGTCCGGAGGCCCCGGCCCAGAGCCCGCCGCCCCCGCCCGGCCGCGCGCCCCACTCACCGTGACCCCGTACTTGAGCGCCAGCCCGGCCAGCGTGTCCCCGGCGCGGACGCGGTGCTGCACGAGGCGCACGTGGTCCCCGTGGCCCAGGGCGCGCGCGCGGCCGGTGCTGCCGTAGCTGCGGGCCTTGGTGCGCGCCAGGCCCAGCGACAGCGCGGCGTCCTCGGAGGCGGGCGGCGGGGCAGCCATGGCCCGAGAGGCGCCGCCTCGTCCTCCTGCTCGGCTCCTGCTCAGCGGGGCCGCGCGCCGGGCATGGGGGGGGGAGAGGAGGAGGAGCGGGGCCGCGACGCGCCAGCCGCAGCCCGGACGCCGGCTCCTCCCTGCGGGCCGGGGCGGGAGCGGAGCGGGGGCGCAGGGCCGGGAGCGCCCTGAGCATGCGGTGCGCGCAATACTGGCGCGCGGGGCAGCCGAGGCGGGAGGGTCTCCAAGGCAAGCCTGGCCTGGACAACCGGCGAGACTCCGCCTCGAAATTTAAAAAATAAATGGAAAACAGCCAGGGATCTAGGCGGCTCACTGCGAAGGCCTTGGTCTACAGTGCCACCACCTACGCAGATAAGTCACTGACTGCTTAGGCCAGGGTTCTTCCCACCCACCAGCGACTCCGGGGTTGGCTGGGGGCCAGGCCGGAAACACAGCTACCGTGTCCCCAACTGTACCCCGAGGCCTGGGAGATCCCCACCGCCCCTGCCCTTTGGCCCCACCTTCCTTCTAATCAGGTCATTTGTGACTCGGTGAGACCCTCAATGCCCAGTGTCACCATGAGACCCTCCCGGATCCCTCCCACTTGCCCCATCCCTCCCAACCCCTGCACCCCCACCCCACCCCCACCCCCACCCCCATGCTGGGCCGCCCTCCAGGGACCAAGCTCCCAGGCGCTGCAGGTGGGTGGCAGGGACTCAAAGGTCAGAAGACTGGAAGTGGAGAATCTGGCTGGATTTTCCTGTATTGCTCTGCTGGACAGAGGTCGGGGATATAAAAGCAAAAAAAAGTCACAGAGAAGATAGGGGTCCTGCTGCCATCACCCCACAGGGGCCCAGGACCTTCCTACACACACCTGCCAGACTACAGGCGAGAGGCAGAGGAAGGTCTTAGGCAAAAATTTAAAGCACCAATTCAAAGACACAGAGGCCAGGCCTAGCAGGAGAGGTCTTGTGAGCTGGGACATTCATGGGCATGGGGCGTCCTCAGGATGAGCCTAGGGTGCATGTGCTGCCCCTCAGGTCACCGTGCAGGCTGCAAACCATTTCCAAATCTCAGGCTGAGGCCTGGGGTCCACACATACTGCCTGGGGTGAGGTACAGGCTGGGTGGGAGGTGAGATTTACAGGTGAAGGTTCTATGTGTCTGCAAGACACTTAGGAGGGATTTTGAGTGAGTTTCCTGGAAAGGAAAATGGCTTTGTTTTGGTTACTTTCCTCTCATTGCTGAGCCAAAATACCTGCTGTCCAAAATGAAGGAAGGAAAGGTTTATTTAGTTCACCGTCTGTGGAGGTTTCACTCTGTAACCAGCTGGCTCCAATGCAGGTGGCTCATGGCAGAGGGTAACAGTTCATGGGGAAAGAGCAAAAAGGGAGGAGCATGGAGAGAAGACTCTCTCTGTCCCTTAATACACTGTACGCAGGCACACCTAGGGCCGGTGCAGCACTCACACCCATAATGCCAGCACTGGACCATGAATCAATCACAAACCCTAGAAGCCTGCTCCCATGACCATATGAGGCTTTGGGGGGACAGCCAGACACAAACCGTAACAGGTTTCAAGTAACTTTTGTTACAGTGAAGTTTCTCAAAAGTACAGTTTTAAACTTCCAGTCATCCTTGGCTCCTCTGCACCTACTTTACCTCTTCTGCTTCGCCACCACCTTCTACTCAGAACTCCGTCCGGGCGCTCGGAGGACAGCAGCATCAGGATCAAGCCACGGTCACAGCAGTTTCCCAGCAGTGCCAAACTCTGTGGAATAAAAATACATGTGATCATCAGGTGTTTGTTGTAAGATCAGGTACAAGAAATAAAATACAGAAAAAAGTCAAGGGAACCATAGCTAAACAATTGTAACAAGATGCCAATCTGGGCATGGAGGCACTCACCTGTAGTCCTAACACTCGGGAGGCTGGAGCAGGAGGGTTGCCACAAGTTCAAGGCCAGCCTGGGTTGCACAGGGAGTTCAAGGCCCACCTGCACCACAGTGTGAGACCCTGTGTTTAAAAACAAAACAAACAAATTCTGCAACTTCCAGGATCCAGCCAAAGTTACCCAAAGTGAGGAAAACTCGTATTCTTTTGGTTAAAGTTAGACTCCTTCTCTACCTGACCCATCACACCCAAAACTCCTTCAGAAACTAAAAGTCCATAAACTGGCTTAGTAGAGAAAATGGAGAACAGGTTAAAAATAAAGCAACAGGTTGAGCAAACTCAAGGAACGTTCAAATTATCTATTAAAAAAAAAGAAAGCACCGATAGCCATAGAATGTGCTGATATCTTTCGGGTGGGCACCTTTCTCTGGGCTTTTGCATCCCTTAGTAGAGCTGTAAATGTCCCCAGTTCCTAACCGCAGTGCATCCCCTTTCTCTCCGTCCACACCTGCTCTTGAGTACGTCCTAAACCTCTAATAGAGCCTCAGCAATGAGTCCTGAAAATTCTTCTTCCTGCACAGCAGTTGGTGACCTACTGTAGAGGGTGGGTTAAATTCCTTATCTCAGCCTCAGGGACCCTCATACCCAGCCTGTGACAGTTGGATTAGGCAGAGTGAAGGTATCCAGTGTTCTCGGTCCACCAGGACGTAAGCAATAGGCAGAACCTCGAGGTCTAACACACCGGAGATCTGGTAAGGTTTCAGAAAAGACACCTCTTCCTTTAAAGATGCTGACAGGTAGCAAAGACAGCGTGTGACGTGCTTTCCACTGAGACAGTTTGCTGAAGCAGCAATGGGTACCTGGAATCCCGGCGCTCTGGGAGGCTGAGGCAGGAGGATCACAACTTCAAGCCCAGCCTGAGCATCTCAGTGACATAGTGAGACACTGTCTCAAAATAAAAAGTAAAGGGGGCTGGGGATTTAGCTCAGCGGCATAAGCACCTGCCTTGCCAGCAGGCAGATGTGAGTTCAATCCCCGGCACCGATAAAAATAAAAAGACAAAAAAATAAATAAATAAATAAAAATTTAAAAAGTAAAAAAAGGCCAAGGATGCACCTCAGTGTAAAGGCTCTGGCTCCATTCCCAGTATTGAAGAAAAGCTACTGAAGTACCAGATGCTTCTGCTTAAAGAACTTCAAGGCATTAGTACGCGTTGAGAAGGAAGGGTCCATAACCAATTAACTGGGGACATTATTGCAATTCCTGCTTCGAAGATTCACAGTGCACATTGGTATCCTGATATTGCACTTCTCAAACTCATGAAACGCTAGAAAAACTCCCTCAGAATTCCTACAGTTTGAGAAATATTGGGTTAAAGGAGAGAAATTAAGCCTAAAAGAGAAATCAGGAAGATAACCTCAAAGACTCAGAGATTATCAAACGACAGCTTGGTAGGTCCCTAAACACAGGGCAGAGAATGAGGCATAGGGAGGCCTCCAGAATGACCAAGGTGTCTGTAAAACGGTCTCCCAAAAGGGTATCAAAAAAGAATCAAAAGCCAGCCCACTTCCTTAATTTCTAAATTGTATTTAGTTATTTGCAACTTCTGCAGCTGAAAAATATCTCGTGCTATGAAACATATTATAAAATACACTAGAATCTATCACATCTATCTCCATGATCGTTTTTGGTGATCATCATTAGTGTTTTGTTTCATTCTTGGAAACTAATCAACTTGAATTACTACTTACTTAGCAATTACTTAGTAATTTTATAGTGGGAATTCTTCATGGTTGCTTTCGCTTAGATACCTAAGCTATTTACAGGGATTCCAGCTTCCTGTGAATTTTATGTCTATTTCTCCTTAATTCAAAGAATAAGTTAGTATCTATAATTTAGAGCTGCTTCTTCTTTTTCTTCTTCTTGAACTAGGACTTTAACATTACTTTTATTTTTTACTATTTATTTTGGTTTTTTGAGACAGGGACTCACTATGTAAGTCAGGCTGATCTTGAATCTACCGCGTAGCCCAGGTTGGCCTTGAACTCTCCAAGATCCTCTTGCCTCAGCCTCCCAAGTACTGAGATTAGAGGAGAGCACCACTACACCTGACTAACTTGGCTTTTGAATATATCTGCACACAACAGAGAGCAAACTTGGCAATCCATGGTGAAACCTAGCAGCAAAAATCCTGCAGAAGAGGAACCATCTACTGCTGCTGCTTTTTAACCCTGAGCGAGGCTCCTCGCTGATGCAGTAAGAAGAGGAGGAGAGGGAAGCAAAGTCTGAAGTGAAACAAACCGCTATTCATAGACATCAGGTCCTGCGCTTCAGATTCTGGTCCTCCGGTCTAGTCACAGTGCAGTTGGGAGGTGCTGTACCTTTAAAAGGTGGAGCTAAATTGGGAGTCTTGAAGCCAGGTGGGCACAGGTTCTTGTTGGAGTACCTGAATGCTGCTCCCCCTTCCCAGCCATTGTGAGGCTGAGCAGCTTGCTCAGGCCCTGCCTCAACATCCTGCTCACCTCCCAACCAAAAGACAATGGGACAAAGTGACCTCACAGCAGAAACCCTGAAGCTGTAACCCAAGTCCATCTTTCCTCATAAGAAATTAATGACCTCAGGTATTTTGTCACGGTGACAGGACGCTGACGCGGTCAGCAACAATAACTGTTGGCAAGCAACATAAGCAATGTTCAGCCTGGTACTGTACACACCATAAAGAGTTGATCAAAGTTCCAAGAGCCAAGAGCAAGATGGGAATGTCAACTGTGTCTGCCAGGAAATGTGAAGTGTGAAAAAGATGACGGTCTTGGTCACTTTTCTCCTGTTGCTGAGACAAAACACCTGACACCCAAAGGGAAGGAAGGAAAGATATTTAGCTCACGATTTGTGGAGGTTTCAGTCCACAATCAGCTGGCTCCAAGGCAGGGTGGCATGGCACAGGGCAACACTTCAAGGCTGCAGAAGACAGCACAGCATCAAGAGCAAAAGGGTGAAGAGCCAGTCTCTTCCTCCGTTATACTTACACAGGCCACCTCCTCCAGGGCCAGTGCAGCACTGACTAAGTCTCTTTCCCCTCCTCCTGCCCAGGATGAGGACCTTTACAAAGGAAGGACCTTGGCTCCCTGCTGGGTGGCTTCTCAAGTTGCCACAGTGTATCAGCCATAACAGTGACATGCTAGACACCAAGAAAAAAAACCCAGGTATAAAAATCTTAGCCAAAGAGATGTATACCTTATACAGATAAATATATAAATAGGATAAATATAAAATATTATCGAATGACATGAACTGCAAATTAAAAAGAGGTATAACCTGTTTATGATTGGAAGGTACAAAGTAATGAAAATATAACCCCTTCCCAAACTAATGTATCAACTGATTAGATACCAACCAAAATCTCTACAGGATTCTCCGAAGGACGTGACAGGAGGCCAGGCCCTGTGGGGCAGGCGTTCTGATATGACAGCTCTGTCCCCTTCTCCTGTCCACCAAGCTCTGCTAGGCAGCCAAGAGGCACAGGCCTGGGTGTGTGGCAGGGAGCAGGGGCCGGGCTGGGGCGGAGGGCAACCCAGAACCCAAGCCCTCCCGCCACACTCTTCCTGGGAAGGACCAGGAGCACACCCTCACCGCCTTCTGTGTGAAACACACCCCGAGCCTGCAGTGGGTGCTTCTTCGGAGATAATGGAGAAATAAGAAGAGAAGGAGGAGGAGAATTATTGCAGTGGTAGTCACACCATCAAAAGGGAAAATCTGCCTTACTCAAAAATAAATAGCATGCACTATATTCAGCTTTGTATCCCACATATATTAACCAGCATCCGATGGACACAGGCAGAGTCTCAGTGCCCTTGCCCACCAGGAAGTCAGTGAAGGAGCTGGGCATGATGGCACATCCTGTAACCCCAGTAATCTGGGAGGCTGAGGCAGGAGAATCACAGATTTGAACCCAGCTGGGCAACTTAGCAATTTATGAAGATCCCATCTCAAAAAATAAAACAGGGCCCTGAGCATAATTCCAAGACACACACACACACACATATCTTGTTTCATATCTTGTTTTTTGGTATCATATGAGTCAGTAATGAACTCTTAGCTTATAGAAGAGAAAAAAATACCATCTAACCTTGGTTAACATAATTTTTGCTTTTTGTCTTTTTGAGACAGGATCTCTCTATGCAGTTCAGGCTGGACTTGAGTTTACTTTGTAACCCAGGCTGGTCTCAAACTTGCAAGATCCCCCTGCCACAGCCCTCTGGAGTGCTGGAATTGCATGTGCACCATACCTAACAACATAAATTTTAAAATTTGACCATCAAGCTGGGTGTGGTGGCACACACATGTAACCCCAGCATCTGGGAGGCTGAGGCAGAAAGAATGCTGTGAGTTTGAGGCCAGCCTGGGCTACCTTGTTGGGGACCCTGAGTTCACAATGGCTAATTGCATACTTTCCTCAGGGATAGATGGAGGCTTGGGATTATGATATCACCCTTTTGAGACTTCCCATTAACCCTTTTGGGATGGGCCATCCTCTCCCACTTTAAGACCAAACTAAGACTACTGAGATTAAAAACACTTAGAGCAAAATCCTTCTTAGCATAAGATCATCTCCCTAGTCTTAAATCACCCCAGGATTACCACCTCTGAGTCATCTGCTGACCTTGAATCCTCCTAGCCCCGCCTAGCATGGTACACACATTGCACTGTAGCACCCAATAAATTGCGGCTGGTTTGGAGTATCTGGGACTCAGTCCCCACCATACTTTACCAGATTTGTCTGTTTCTTATTTCACCCTTTTACTGCACCCCTTACACAGGCAGTTGGGGATCTTCCTCCCTGATACTACATAGTAACTTCAAGGCCAGCCTAGACTACACAGTGAGAACTTGTCTCCAAAAAACTTTTTTTAATAATCACAGCAGGACAGGAAATTCAGCAGGTAGATGCGAATAGCACCTCCCAGCCAAGTGCCTCAAGGAGCCCAGAACTGGAAGCCACCATGGAGAGAAGCCAGAGACCCTGCAGCGCCTGCAAGCTATGGTCTGTCCCAGGAACTGTGGAGACCTTACCCCAGGTCCCACACACCTGTCCCCACCTGGAGCCCACTGTCCACCCCAGTGCACGTCAGGCAAAATCATGCCAAACACGGAACACTCTGAGGCTTGAACTTCCCAGCAGAAACAGCTGGGGGCAACAGTGATGAGGTTTAGACTAAGTTTCTCTAACCCCAACAGGACCTTTGAAATCCACAAGGCAGATTCAACTGCAGACAAATCCCGACCAAAATTACCCGCACCCTGGGAGACGCTGGGAAAGAGGATGGATGCCAGAAGCTTGAATTTACGGGATAAATCTGACGTAGTTCTTTTACTGTACTGTTGGAGTCAGTTTTCCTATATTTTTTGAGATTGTTTTTTGGTTGAGGATTTTCTAAAGTCATAAGGGATATTAAGTATAATATTGTTTCATATCTTGTGTTTTGGTATCAGCATAATACTGGCCTCATGCAAAATTAGAGAATCTTCTGTCTTTTTCTTTTCTTGGGAAGCATTAAGGATTGGTGCTGCTATTTTTAAATGCTCTATAGAATTCATCGGTGAAGTAATTTGTTCTGGACTCTTCTTGATTGGAGGATTTTTGATTCAGTCTCTTGCAGGTCGTTAAGATTTCTGCTTCTCCTTCATTCAGTTTAGGCAATTTGAGTGTTTCTAGGAATTTATTCACTTCATCCAGGTTAATTCAATGGCATGTTTCTTAATCATTATCCTGTCTCTGTGACAAAATGCCTAACTCCCACACACGGGGAGGAGTCTGTCCAGCTTCTGGTTTCAGTGGGTTCAGCCCATGGAGCTCTGGCTGCAAAGCAGACTGGGGTTTCACTGATTTTACTGTTTTTCTATTTTGTTTATTTTTGCTTCCACCTTCATTTGTTTCCTTTTGTCTGCTTTGGATTTGCTTTTCTTTTTCTAGTTTATCGAGTTACAAAATTAGGTTATTTATCTCATCCCTGTTTTTTCTTCTGCAGCCACTTACAGCTTTCCAGCTGCCCCTGGGCACTGTCCTCACCGATCCTCTGTGCTTTCGCCTGTAGAATTCATAATTGTGTGCTGTGTAGAGAAACGAGGGCAAGTGGTCTGAGCTCTCCGTGCTAATACAGGTGAGTCACAGAACGGAGTTAAGTAAGACAGGACGGTAACGATGGTGAGATACATACATCTTTTCTTCTCTTTTTTATTAATAGACTTGTGGGGAGGATTGGAAGTCTCAGGGATTCAGAAAGTACCAGGCTCCCAAATACCTTTCATCTCAGTTTATCATATTAACATCTTGTGCAAGTATAGTGGCACAAGCCTATGATCCCAGCACAGAGGCAGCAGAGGCTGGAGGATCACAAGTTCAAGGCCAGCCTGGACTACATAGTGAGACCATATCTCAAAAGTAAATAAATAAAATCCTGTGTTTGTGGGCCTTTGTTAAAACTGGTTAGTCAGTGTTGATGTATGAGATCCTTAGTTTGTGCTATAGCTCGCCCTTTGTGTTTTACAGTTCCAGGGTTTGACAGATCCATAGAATGTGATGTGCCAGCCATTCACTGTCCTACGGGGCTCATCCATATCTTGGAAACCTGTGCACTTCACCTGTTCCTCCTCTTTCTTCCTTTCTTTGAACACTTGAGTACCACTGATTTTTTTTATAGAATCTGAAATGATTTTATAAATTCATGTAAATTGCACAGAATAGTGGATTACATTTTGGTGTACTGCAACTTGCATGTAATATACATTGATTTTTTTTTTGGAGGTGCTGGCTTGGCTTCCCAGAGTCCTAAGTTCCAACATGGCGTGGATCTCAGGAGACACTGCTAGTTCTCCCCCTGGAAGGGCTGCAGTGGGCCACACTACCGCGGCTTACCAGGGAGGGGAGATGCTGGCTTGGCTTCCCAAAGTCCTCAGTTCCAACATGGCGTGGATCTCAGGAGACACTGCTGTTCTCCCCCGGAAGGGCTGCAGTCTGACACCCTGCCTCCGCTTACAGGGAGGGGAGGTGCTGGCTTGGCTTCCCAGAGTCCTAAGCTCCAACATGGCGTGGTTCTCAGGAGACTGCTAGTTCCACCACTGATTTTTTAAAAAGTAAAAAAAATTTTTTGTCCGGGGGATCAAACTCATGACCTTGAGCTTGCTAGGTGTATGCTTGTGTGGCTGAGCTAAACTCCTGGCTCCACTGATTTTTTTTTAACCATATCCACAGTGTTACCTTTCCCAGAATGCTGTGTAGTTGGAGTCATACCGTACAGAAGACTTCAGCCTGGCTTCAGACGCCTGGCAATATGCATTCAAGATCCTTCTATGTCTGTTTGCAGCTCGAGGGCTCATTTCTTGCCATCAATTAATAATTCCTCTTTCCATGGCTCTCCTACAGCTGCTTAGTGGTTCACTTACTGACAGATTTCCCCCTACAGCTGCTCCCGGTGTTTGGCAC